ATAAATCCGCTTTTGGCGGATAGATAGGAAAATCAAATGCCAACCAACCAATTCATTAGGACCGACAGAAATTATTATGGAAAATGCCGCCCACTTTTCCTCGAAATTTATAATAAATACCGGGGAATACAACATGCCGCACGGCCTACGTTGAACAATAAAACTTAACATTATTATATAAAATGTATAGCCCAAAAACAAGGCATGAAAATGAAAACAGACGCCCACAGTCTGAAGCGGCGGAAAACGTGCAGAAAAGCACAAATGCCACAAGTGGAATTCGGTTTTCCAGAGGTGACTAGAAAATGCTCTACTAATCTGAAGGAAATACAAGAATTAGCAACATTTTAGGAAATAAAGTTGTATTAAAGTCTAACGTATTTCCTAAAATGGTGAAAGAATTTAAAAATTTAACTTTTTTAAGAAAAATACTATTTAGTTGTTCTTCAATTCTTCCGTTAAGGTTTATGTCCTTGCTAGTGATCTTTCTTTCTTTGCTGTTATTTAAATGTAAATGTAAATAAATAAAAAAAACAACTTAAAAATGTTTTAAATTTCACTATTCCATTTAATAATGAATGCAATTGAAATTTAAACTTAAAGCTTTTTCAAATCTTCCAACGGAGGTTTGTGTCCTGGCTAAAGAATCTCTTCAGACGTCACAGGCTCTTTGTGTTTGTTGCTATTGCAGTTACTGTTGCCTTTGTTTAGATTAGAATACCGGAGCCGATGATGCACGAGCCATTCCATTGATGAGCTCACTCCAGCACCACCGCCATCAGGTGTGTGTTTTTCTACTGTGAGTACTACGAGTAGTAGATAGATTTGTGTATCTTTTCCGATCACATGACTGCGTGAGCACTTTCTGTTTTTCTTTCCACAGTTGTACTTCTCTCAAATGAACTTTTTAAAGAATTTATCAGTAAAGAACAAATATTTTCCAGATCTCAATTACTTCTAACATATTTTCCTGAGTAATTAGATTTTCTTATCTTAAATATTCATCTTGCAAATTGCGCTTAGTAAGAAACCTGAAAACGTGTTCTATCACTAATTGAAAGTGATTACCAGATTAGCTTTATCTACAACTAACCCCATTCGATAACGTACTTAATTTACTTTAACTGACCTTATTTGATAAGTTAGCTCTCTTGACTTTTTTTAGGACGTTTAAATAGCAGAAACTTTGCTCATTTAAGAAAAACAATTGCAATCAAAGCCGCTTACACTCGATTGTATATCGCCTTTTGTGTTCGAAATGCCCAATTTGGAAAGCGAATCCCCAAAGAGATTAACATTGACCCGTAATTACTTTATATGGATTGCAATTTTAATTAGACTCTCGACTTTGCACAGCTGCATCAGAGCCATAAAAAGTGGGCAGATCAAAACTGAGAGAAAAAAGAGAACAATCTCCGGTGGCTGTTCAAAGGTCTGTCAATTGAGATGGGTTTATAGTTTTGCAACGCACTGTCGGCCGCATGTGGGGAATATTTTATGGCATGATTCAGCTAACGATTTCCGCTGCCAACGCTCTCTCACATGGGTGCAGTATCCCCACCATCACCACCACCCAAGCGTTCGTTTATCATCATCATAGTCCCATAGTCACCACCATGATGATCAGATCTCCAATCTCCGAGAGCCGTGAGCTGTGGGCTGTGGGCGTGGGCCGCCTGCCGCCTCCCTGTCGAGATCGTGCCGCAAACATCGCATCAACTTCTGGCTGGCCGGGCTAAAAATATATATTCGATGGGCTTGCTCCACCCACAAGACTCGATGCAGAAAGCTACAGCCTTCAGCTTGAGCTCCCATCCCTTCCTCATTGGGTTTTCGGATTTTATTTTAAATGTGGCAGCACTAAACTATTTATATAAATTCTAAATTATCTAGTTTCCATTTTTTAAAGGTGAAACAAATCTTAATACATTTTTATATTTAAGAAAATTTAAGAATTTAAGAATAATAGTTTTTCTTCATCTTATTTTTTTCATCTTTTGAAAAACTTGAATTAAAGACCAAACTGTTTGATTTGTTCCCTAAATAGGATATCTCATAAAATAATACAAGAAATATCTTCAGTGGCATGTTTGGAATAATGTCAATTATGATTGGAATCAGCTTTTTCTTTCATTTTTGCCAATCGTTTATGATTGGAAATATTATTTTACGAGGCTGCATCTTTGTGCGTTCGAATGCCGGCCATATAGGGTCTGTGTTACCGAGACTTGCCGACTTCCCCTTCGTGTTTGAAGAGTTTCACATAAAAATGGTTGTTTATTGCAAGGCAGCAGCTAACAAACACAAGGCCAACCTGGAAATTGCTTTGTTCTGGGCCTTCCTTGGTTTTTTTTATTTGTTGCTTCTCCTCACTTTTCGGCTTTTGGCTGAGTGGCAAGCGCGTGCACTTGGCGCCAACTTGGAGCCGCCACATATTGCTGCCTTGGTTTTGCCCCTCGAGCCGAAGAAACCGAGGAAACAGCTAACCGAAACAGGCAACAATTTGATTTCGAAGCGCGACGTCTTCCCTCTCCCACCACTTTTCTCTCCTCTTTCCCGGCGGATGCCACTTGGTTGTCCGCGGTTCGTTTCATAATTTGGTTGGATTTTTTTTTAGTTCAGTCTGGTCTGGTAAGAAATTCATAATTTGTCTGCACCGCAACAGGCTACCGTGCTACGTGGTCATCGTTCTCTGCACCGAGAACAAAAACCGCTAAAATCAAGAAGAAAAGTTTCTGGTTTTGAGAGAATTTTTTTTAAATAAGCATTCTCAATTTCAGTAAAAGTGATCTTGTTTTCAAGTAGAATTATTCTCGAGCCAAATCAAGCGCACTTTACTCTTGATTTCAAGATTTGAGCACACTCAAAAAAGTGAGTAGAAAAAATACTGAAATCAAGAAGATTCGTTCTCAAGTTTTCTCAGTGTGTGTTCTCTGTGATTTTTGTTCCTCCCAAAGAAATAAGAAGCAACAGGTATTTGGCGAATAAAACTTGGCAGCGAATAAAACTATTTGGCTAGCTAAAAGCATATAGTTTTCAATGAATTTCTAACAATAGCTAAATATATCTGCACGTTTTGCATGCCAAAACCGAGACGAGATACAATTGGTGCGATAAAAACCGCCTGTGAAACGCGTGGCGACAGCGGCAAAAACAGCAGCTGTCGCTGGCTATTAAATTGTAATTAAATTATTATCTCGTCGCTGAGAGGGGCGTGGCTAACCCCAGATGCAGGCAACATCCGCCAATTTGTGGGCTTGACTTTTTGTATTTGCAACTACTGAAACTGAAAACTGCAAGCTGTGAATGGCATGCAGTTTCCATTGGGCATGTGTCACTTGTGTTTTTTGTAGCCTTGACAACACGCGACCTGTTCAAATATCTACTTATATATTCGCTAGGAATTCGCATCGTTAATCAACCGTATTGTATCTTTTGCGAGCATTTTAAGGCCTTATACCATTAATAGCTCCTAACTGCGATCTCGTTTCGCGTGTGAATGTTGTGGCTTTGATGGATGGCTGATGGTTTGGGGGTTCTCTTGTAACGAGCTCGTTTGAGCGTAAAAGCGTAAATAAGCGAATGGAATCCGAGAGTTTTGTTTTCCCAGAATTGCGAGCCAATAAACAATAATGGGAATCGGAAAACAATCCCAAGTAGTCAGCAAAACAGTACAGAGAGATCTGTATCCAGCAGAACCAACAGATCCAACAGATCCCCCCGAATGACACACATCCGTTTGGTGCCGAGCTTTACGACTTATAAATGGTCGATAAAAATGTCTAAAAATATGCTAAATACCACGGCGGGGTAAACAAATCACCTTTTGTGCCAGCCACGAAATCACCATAAAAAATATAGCACATTCGGTTTTTATGAATGAACTCAACTGCAAGCGGCTGAATGCAATTAAATGCGAAACGGAACGAAACGAAAAAGTATTGAGCAGGTCGGGGCACTCCAACTAGCCAGAGATCCAGCGATCCATGGGAAAGCCACCCACTCGACCGTAACTCATTCATCTAACGGCTGTCTCCCCCCCTGCGGAAAAACGCACTTAATGCTTTTCTCGATGGCTGTCGCAGGCGGCAAATGGCCGTAAAACTAGCACCCATCGCATAACGCCCACTCCATAACGGTCGAGCTATGTACTCCATGTACTCTGTGCTCAAAAGTTTGGTCAAGTGGCTGAGGCAGCTACCGAGCTACCAACATACCAAGCTACCAAACTACCGAGCAGAAACAGCAGCTTGTAATTAGTTGCAGATTTGCCAGCGACCTGAATCAATTGCCCGAGTTACCGTTAACCAGCTACTTGCTACTTTGAAGCCCGCAACTTGCCCACTCTTCATGCTCAAACGCATTTTCATGGTAGAGTTCCCGCATGCGGCTTATAATCGCGCAGTCAGGATAACTTATTCGTATGATTGATTTAGAGGAGTACCTAACATTAAAGTCGAAAAAAGAATGCTAACGGATGAGACTTTAGATAGATGAGTAACTCCTTTCTAAGTTATAAGGTAAAATTAAAGAGTTCCATATTTATTTTTAAATAGTTAATGAGTATATATTATTTATTTGTTTTTTACGAATATTTTTCAAACTAATCAAGAGGATTAAAGAGGTTATAATAAAATGATATGGTTGTATGCAACAAACTCAGCCGTTGATTAAAGCAATCATTAATGATTGCCATTGAAGGATTAGCCCCGCCTACTCATCAATTTTTAAGTGCACTTTAGTGAAAAATCTTTTGCAACCTACTAAAAGAAGTTTTGGAAAGTATTTAGGGGTCTTTAAGATACATTGTATAAAACATGTTTTAGTATCTGATTGAGAAGTTAGAGCCACTAAACAACATTGAAAGAGTCATTAAATAGGGGATATTTAATAATAGATTTGGAAATTTTATGATACTAGGAAAATGAAGAACCTTATACCCGACTCTACATTTTATCCATGGAAGATACTAATAAAAACTCTCTGTTTTTCCATTACAGCCCGTTCACTGACCTGCTACTGCGATGGTAGCTGTCCAGACAATGTGAGCAATGGAACCTGTGAGACGAGACCCGGTGGCAGTTGCTTCAGTGCCGTCCAGCAGCTGTACGATGAGACGACTGGGATGTACGAGGAGGAGCGCACCTTTGGCTGCATGCCCCCAGAAGACAACGGCGGTTTTCTAATGGTAAGTTATAAATTAAAAATCAATTAAACATTTTAATTAATAAAAATATCTTTACAGTGCAAAGTGGCCGCTGTACCTCACCTGCATGGCAAGAACATCGTGTGCTGCGACAAGGAGGACTTCTGCAACCGCGACCTCTATCCCACCTACACGCCCAAGCTGACCACACCGGCGCCCGATCTGCCCGTGAGCAGCGAATCGGTGCACACACTGGCCGTCTTCGCCTCCATCATCATCTCCCTGTCCGTGTTCATGCTGATCCTGGCCAGCCTGTGCCTCACCTACAAGCGGCGCGAGAAGCTGCGCAAGCAACCGCGTCTGATTAACTCCATGTGTCACACTCAATTGTCCCCGCTTTCCCAACTGGTGGAGCAGAGTTCGGGCTCCGGATCGGGACTGCCACTGCTGGTGCAGCGTACGATTGCCAAGCAGATTCAGATGGTGCGACTGGTGGGCAAGGGACGCTACGGCGAGGTCTGGCTGGCCAAGTGGCGCGACGAGCGGGTGGCCGTCAAGACCTTCTTCACCACCGAAGAGGCTTCCTGGTTCCGTGAGACGGAGATCTATCAAACGGTGCTGATGCGTCACGACAACATCCTCGGCTTCATTGCCGCCGACATCAAGGGCAACGGCAGCTGGACACAGATGCTGCTGATCACCGACTACCACGAGATGGGCAGCCTGCACGATTACCTCTCCATGTCGGTTATCAATCCGCAGAAGCTTCAGTTACTGGCCTTCTCGCTGGCCTCTGGTTTGGCCCACCTGCACGACGAGATCTTTGGAACGCCAGGCAAACCGGCTATTGCACATCGCGACATCAAGAGCAAGAATATACTGGTCAAACGGAACGGACAGTGCGCCATTGCTGATTTTGGACTGGCGGTGAAATACAACTCGGAACTGGATGTCATACACATTGCCCAGAATCCACGTGTCGGCACCCGGCGCTACATGGCTCCCGAGGTTTTGAGCCAACAGCTGGATCCCAAGCAGTTCGAGGAGTTCAAGCGGGCGGATATGTATTCAGTGGGCCTGGTGCTGTGGGAAATGGCACGTCGCTGCTACACACCGATATCGGGAACCAAGACGACCACCTGCGAGGATTACGCCCTGCCGTATCACGATGTTGTGCCCTCGGATCCCACCTTCGAGGATATGCATGCGGTGGTCTGCGTAAAGGGCTTCCGGCCGCCGATACCAACGCGCTGGCAGGAGGACGATGTACTGGCCACCGTCTCCAAAATCATGCTAGAGTGCTGGCACCCGAATCCCACCGTCCGACTGACGGCCCTGCGCGTCAAGAAGACGCTGGGGCGGCTGGAAACAGACTGTCTGATCGATGTGCCCATAAAGATAGTCTAGGCAGCAGCATAGTATCGTTTTAGGTTTGACCTAAGTTGCATTTAGTTTTCTGTTTTTCTGTATCTTTATAAATAGTTAGGTTCTAATCATAAGTTGCCTGTACTTGAGCGGAGCAAAGCAGAGGATCCTTCAGAGGTGCCTACATTATAGGGTTACTTTAATCGCCGCACTGATTGTAAGCTAGAGGATTTAGATTTAGCGCTACTACTTAAGCTAACAGGAGCTAGTTTCTAAGGCCCCCTGCAAAAATCTTTGGTTAGAAAAATGCTTTAACTATTTGAGAAATATAGAGAGTATGTATGATGTACATAAAGTATGAGAACAAAAAAGAAATCAATCAGAATCGAAATTTACATGTAACATACTTTAACTTTTTGTGCCAGCTTTTGTATGCTTTAACTTTACGATTTAAGATCCCCATGCTTCTTCGACCCCCTCAGCATACAACATATATATGTATTTATGTGTTATGTTTGTATCTAGTGTTTAGGTAAAAACTTTGCAGACTTTCGTGCAAGTAAATGCTGCCTTTTGTAAAATCCACGGAATTAGTTGCCTTAAGACAGAGCGTAAAGACAGGAGCCTTCCTCCCACTCTATAAGTAGCACATATTTATATGTATATCCAGAGATATATTAAGGACTATCGAGAAGTGCACTTGTGTCGGCTCTTTTGTTTTGTGTAAATAGCAAAGATGTTTATAGGCCGCTAACCATACAGATATATAGTATATATATTATATATTATCGTTATAAGCGATTCTGTAAATACTATATATGTATCTTTAACTGTAACCGTTTAACTTATCTCTTATCGTTCTTATTATATAAAAAGTAACCTTGCTTAAGCTAGATGTTAGGCTAGATTTGTAAGAGCAAAAAGTAAACTATGTGAACTAGATGGATATGTATCTTTCAGTTTTTTTTCTGTTTCATTATTACTGCGCGCAGACCACAAGAACTAGAGTTTGTATTAAAGCGTTTAGTTAATTTATTTAAAAATAATAAAAAATTATTATTAAACACAAAAGCTTGATTTTTTGGTTGGATTTTTTTGTTTTGTCAGCACACACGATTGCTCCTCTACTCGCCCGCCATCATCTCCATGAATTCTGTAATAGAAAATTTTAATATTTATATATTAATTTTTTAAAAATAACTGGGATAACTAACCATCAAAGTCCACGGTACCGGAGCCATCAGTATCGATCTCAGCAATGATTCCATCCAGATCGCTGGAGGAGAGCTTGTCGTCGAGGGCGGCGAGAATTTCCTTGAGCGTTGAGGTGGTGATGTAACCATTGCCCTCGCGATCGTACAGACGGAAGGCCTCCTTCAGCTCCTTCTGAATGGCCTCGGCGTCCTCCTCCTCCAGGAAATGGGCGGCGATGTTGCAGAAGCCATCGAAGTTCACCTTGCCGGTGTCCTCGGGATCATTGTCGTCGATCAGAGCCTGCAGTTCGCTCTCCTCGAACATCTGGCCCATGCTATTGAGGATCGTCTTCAGGCGCAGCGTCTCGATGAAGCCCGTCTTTTGTGTGTCGAACATTTGGAATGCCTTGCGCATGATGTCCATTTTCTCATCGTCCTCCTAAAAGGGGGTTATCCAAATAGAAATTAGCCATCACATCACATCATAAACGATTGCACAATCTATGCCCAGAAGAAACTACACCCGATAGATACCATTTTGTATCTGTTGTGACGACAATTTGCGAGCGAGCGATGGTATTCCAATCTCCAATGCGTTCCAACTGCGTTGGCCTGCGGGCGCGCACTAAACCGATCGCCTGGCCAAGATCATTATTTATAAACAACAAATTTCGCTTAGTGGAAGCGTCACTCATACGCAGCGTTGTCGGCAGAGGAGCAGAGCATCCCATCCATGGGTTATTGTTGGTTTGGCTTTTCGGCAAAGCACTTTATTAACAGCCATTGGAATGTGAACTGAGGTGGAGGTGGCTGTGAAGGTGGAGATGGAGGCGGATGCGGAGACTGATTCTGGCCAGACGCTGATCTAAATCAGATCAAAGTGTTACAGGTGCACTGCCTGTTCTCTTGGTTCTGTTGGGTTGGGTTATTGGTTGGGGGCCTTAAGGTCGTTCGTCGGCCGAACGGCGACGTCATCTCCATCATCTTTTGGCGCTGGCAGCCGGAAAAACGAGCGCACAGCGCACGCCACAATTATGCAAAGAGCAGAGGAGCAGCAACAGCAGATACAGATACATTATACAGATATAGGTACACCCTCGCATCCATATCTCTTCATAAGTACATACATATATAGGCGGCCTGGTCGGTCACTCAGTCAGTCACTAAAAATCGACTATAAACGTCTTCACAATCAGTCACAAAATCAGCGCGATTTTCTCACGGTAATTGTATTTTTAGTACTTTATAGCAATTTTTGTCCATATGATCATGAGTGTGGGCCAGATGCCGATGGTTGCTGCTGGTAGTCCACAGCCGATTCCACACAGGCTCTTTGCGGCTAGCTGACTACCAGTAGGTGACTACTAGTGCTGCGGTTAGCCACACACCCATCCGAACCTCCTCCTCCTCCCCCTTCACTCTTTGCAAAAATGTTGATTTGGTTTTATATTTTTGCTTTAAAACAAACAAACAGGCATTCAGGCGGGCAAATGGACATCAAGCAAGATGGACAGGCCAGTTGGAATGGGGAGAGGGGTTCTTGTTTTTAGGAATGGGTTCGGTTTTTGGATTCGGACGGGGTAACCTTCCTGCGGCATTTTTTGGCAAAGGCAATGGCAGGCAGTACTAGCTTTGATGGTCATTTGAGTTTTATTATTTATGACAAAACGAGAAACACTTTTGGAATGTCCCACCATGCATAGGTTGGGATGGTATAATGGGGTATAAGGTATAAGGGGTTCCTGAGTTCCTCTAGAGAGTGCACTCACACACCGACACCTCGATTGTTTTTGCATAATTTCGTTTTCCCCTGTATAAATAGCACGAGTGTTGGCCACACTCGTGGCATAAGTTCTAATTCGGACGCTGACAGTTTGGTGGCATGAAATTTAAGGCTAGATTTACGACGTAATTACCACTGCAAATTGTACTGGCCAGGAGCGAAGTCAATGCTACTGGGGCGAAACGCTAATTATGATCTTTAAACATATTTTTGCTCTTATAAAAAATTTGTTTAAGAGTTATCTAAAATCTGAAAATAGTGCAAAAGTACTTAGCGTTTTACTTGTTTTTTAAAAATGACTAAAAACCTGGATTTTTGCTAAAAATATGATTCAAAAAAATTTTTTTTTGTTATAACTTGGCCAAAAATGATACAAAATCCAAAAATTTAAGTTTTTTATAATGCTTATAATCCAACATTTTGATTCCTATCAGTTTTCAGTTCATTTAAAAAACTAAATATATTGTTAAATTTTCCCATTTTTAGATTTCATGATTTTTTGCACAAAAAGGCCAAAATTAAATATTCTAATTACATATTTACATTGATTTCGCTAAACATTTTTGTTTTCTTTGATTTTTTTTTAGCGCCCCACGTTGGGCGCCAACTTGCAAAAACTTTTGCAATTATAAAAGCTTTCCGGTCTCCTTTCCGGCCGAACGAAACGAAATTGATTAAGGCCACCTAGAGCGTTTAAAGTAAAAACTAAAATTAGAAGGGATTTTATAGGAATAGGGAAATGATGAACAAGTTGTGGTCTTTCCTTTTTTTGTTAGGTAAGTGCTGCGCCCTTCATAAAAACTTAGCACAGTAACAATCCTTTTCTTAGGCTTTTCAATTCTTATGATTGTGGCTGGCTTAGAAGATGAGGAATCGAACTGCTTTGCCCTGCGTGACGAAGCGTGTCCCAATGCCAACATTACCTTTTGGCTCTACACGTAAGAGCGATAAGAAAGGTTATTAATAGGTTACTCTGATTTATCCGTTGAAACCCACAGAAAAGAAAAACCGGAGGGATTGGAGATCTCACCATTTAGCATTCCCGTACTTGAATTTCTACCCATGAAATCGCTCAAGGTGCTGATCCATGGATTCAATGGTCACCGCAACTATACGCCCAACGTCCAGTTACGTCCTCGATTTATCAAGCTGGATATAAATGTGATATCCTTGGACTTTCAAAAACTGGCTAATGAACCCTGCTACTCGGAGGCAGTTCACAATGCCAAGTACGTGGGTCGCTGTATTGCCCAATTGCTGCGATTGCTACTCGAAAGCAAATTGGTCGCGAATAAGGATGTGCATCTTATCGGTTTGGGTTTGGGTGCCCATGTGGCGGGATTCGTGGGCCAGTTTATGCCGGAACATAAGTTGGAACATATCACTGCCCTCGATCCGGCCAAACCTCTTTACTTGGTCAACGATACGGCCCAGAAACTTGATCCCACTGATGCCAAATTCGTGGACGTTGTGCACACGGATGTGCTGATGCTCGGCCTTCTGGAGGCAGTGGGCCACGTGGACTTCTACTTGAACATGGGCGTAGAGCAACCTAATTGTGGGCCGGTGAATCAAAGTAAGTCCAAGTAATTCACTAGGTCGTATGTTTCTTTTCCTACTTTTTATTTTCCAGTGGAAACCCATTTTTGTTACCATAACCGAGCCGCTGATTACTACGCCGAATCCATTTCGTCAAATGCCGGCTTTTATGGCTTCTACTGTCCCAACTACAAGAGTTTTGCGACAGGGGCCTGTGTTCCCAAGAAGGATATAGAACCGATGGGTTTCTACGCTCATCCAGAGTAAGTTGAATAACCAAGTTTTCGAAAGATTTTCGTGATGGAACCTAACTTATTTCAGAGCCAGGGGCAGGTATTTTCTGGAGACCAATAATGGACCGCCTTATGCAAAGGGGACAAACTATAAGAATATTAATCGTCAGCTCAAAGGTCGCACTTTCATGAACGATGAACTCATAGACCAACTCTTTGAAAACAAAGCTGATGCTTAGAAATATGGGTTACTAAAATGTGATTAACCAATCCAATAACCTATTTTAAATAAATAAATTGGAAAATATGTTTTTTGCTGTTAGGAAAAATCTTTTTACAAGTTTAGCAATGATTGACATTTCAGTATTTGACCCTGTTTTCTTATTTTTTGTTGTTAACCCCTTCAAAAAAACTTATTTTTGTGCCTAATCTTAATTTTCAAGTGAAATACTGTCGACATACACACATGTTTTGGCTGGTTTTTTGCCCACCTTTGCAATCAACAGGAGGAGCACCTCCGCCAGCCATGTCAACAACTCGTTTAGCCAGGTGACAGATGCCAAGAAAAAGAATGTGCATGAAAATAAAAAGTATACGGGGAAAGCAATTTCACGCGCCTTTGGCTTTTCATTTGAAACGAAACATAATGGAATTTAGTCGGTTGCGAGGGGCGGCAAATGAAGTCAAACTAACTGAAACAAACGAAATGCAAGGAAACTAGCAGGCAAACAAGTGTTTGCATTCCGTCGCCAAGAAGCGACGACAGACTCCAAATCAAAACAGGCGGCGGAGTTTGATCGATAAAAGTCAAACGGAACGCCCAAAACTTGGGGCTAATCAGAAACGGTGTGAATAGTAAGTCGGTAGTTAGTTAGCTGTGGAGTCCTCAACAGAACGGTCGATCGATTGCGATGGAGGAGCTGCAGGATGCCAGCATCCATCACATGACCGCCAAGGTAATCGCGGCCATCAAGAACACAAAGAGCTATGAGCCCATCTACAAGGAGCTGCAGAAGTTGGTCTGCAATCCCAGCGTGGACACCCACGACATGCGCAACACCCTGGAGGATGCCATCAAGAGCGCCGGCTTGGAGACGGAGATCCGGAACATTGTCTACAATCTGGTGCGGAGTCGCTTGGCCAAACCCGATGACAAGTCCCTGGCGAATAAGCAGGGAGCGGTGGGTATTATTGTTAGCCTTAATAAAACAGTCCTTTAATACGTTTAGAAATAGTTTCTTTAACAAACCGATGTTTAAGGTCCGTTTTCTAATCCACCGGTTAAACTGCAAGTAGGTTTCATTTGATTAGATCTTATCTTTCTGTTTAAACCACATTTCACCTTTCGAACCTTATTAAAACATTCATTTATTTGTTCAGAATGAGTTTGAGTAAAACAAACTAAAATTTAAGGTCCGTTTTCTAATCCACCGGTTAAACAAAAAGTAGGTTTAATATGATTAGATCTTACCTTTTTGTTTGAAACACATATCATTTTACGAACATTAATATAACAGTCATCTATTTGTTCAGAAAAAGTTTCTTTAACAAACTTAGGTTTAAGGTCCGTTTTCTAATTCACCGGTTAAACTAAAATTAGGTTTCATTTGATTATATTTTACCGTTCTGTTCAACCCACATATCACCTTACAAAGGTATTCTTTTCTATACCTATCATTCCAACATTCCGATTTTTACCCAAAACAAGTTACAATTCTGTTCTTTAAGTTCAACCTTTATAATAAAATAAGAGAAATAAAATGATGATTTCATCAGAAACCTCTCAAAGTGGAGCAAATATGGAGCTTTCAACCAGCTCTTTAACTTTATGCACTTTAGTATGTAGTCTTTGGGCAAGGAAATTTAAATTAATTATTAATTTACTTATTTTTCTCATAGAAACCCACCGTTAGTGATCCTCTTGGCTATTTAAAAAGGGCCGGAGTTCTTTGGGATCGAAGGGTTAGAAAGAGCTTGAATGCCATGTGTACAGAGCTGAAGGTTCCACTGCATGGACAACCGAGGATCAGTGCCGATCGAGAGGACTTTATGGCCAAGTGGAACGAACTGAGCAACTATAATATGGGTGGGTAACTTCGAGATTTCCAAACTGACATCACACTTAAGGTCGAAACCCTAGATCTGGCCAACTATAGACCGGTTTACGCACCCAAAGATCTACTGGAGGTGCTACTCTCGCTGAAAGGACCCGCCAAAACCACCGAGAATACAGAGTGAGCCTTGTAATCCATTAGCAATTAAATATTAAAATACTTTATAATATTTTTTAACCAGTCAAATACCACAGTGGGAGTTCTCGCACATTGCCTTGCCCGTGAAGAACTTGTTTGAGCTACGTGCCCATTATGCGGATCTCCTACGAAGTGATGGCTACTTGGGAGTGCCCGATCTCACGGTCCAATGTCAGCGGATTCTGGAGGGGAGGCATGCACCCATGTGTCAGCAGTTCCTGAAGAAGGGTTGCACCCCGGCACCCTATAGAGGAGCTCTTTGGGCCTCTGTACTAGACAGCAAGTTGCACGACTATGTAATGGAATCAATTAACCCTCGGTTAACCCTTTGCTAAATTTTTGATATATATAATCCCTTATAGGACATTGATTACTGGCAGAAGCTGCGCAATGCTGTCTGGACCACCGATCATATCGTAGACAAACTGGTCTTCAAGGATATCCAGTTAACTGCCTCCAATGACGACCAGTACTTTGTGTTCGAGGACGTACTGTACCAGGTGCTGCTCTGCTTCTCCCGAGACACGGACATCGGTGGCTGTGTGGAGTACGAGACCTTTCCGGTGAAGGGCAAGACGTACGAGGGTCCGCCCTCGGGCGTGGTGCCCTTCCATGGCATCTGCATGTTCGCCGCCCCCTTCTGCTATCTCTACGACTCGCCGGTGAATCTGTACTACACATTTAGGGCCTTCTACATCCGCTACTGCCATCGCTTGACCACGATCAATACTCATCCGCAGGGTATCGTGAGTTTGTGCCTGCTGTTCGAGAAGCTCTTGCAGACCTACGAACCGCAGTTGTGGTCTCATTTCCGGGAGCTGCAGATTCAGCCGTAAGTTGGAATGGTGGGAGGTTCTTATTTACCTAATATATCTACCCAATAGTCTAAGGGTCGTCTTCAAGTGGCTGATGCGCGCTTTTTCCGGACATTTACCACCCGACCAACTGCTGGTTCTCTGGGATCTGGTAAGTAACTTTGAAACCTATCTTTATCCTTCCTTGGTTTTGATAACCCACTTTCCCTCCCAGATCCTTGGCTTCGATAGCCTGGAGATCCTGCCGCTATTCGCCATCATTATCCTGAGTTTCAGAAAAGAGAGCATCATGCAGGTGGCCTCCTTAGACAGCATCGAAGCCATTCTGGCGGATCTGTCCTCTATAAAGGTGCTGCCCCTAGTTCAATTAGCCCTCAGTCGGGACTAAAAGTGTAATACTAGTCAAGTTACCAAATTAAAGTATTAAAAGTGTTGAAAAAATAAAATAATATTAGCTTTACAAAGTATATTTGATAAGATACAAAGCAGCAATGAGGTATTTGTCTATTTGCGATCCACAAAGTCCAGCCAAACGCCCCCTTTCAAGGCAGCCATAAAATATGTGTCATCAAACTGATTATCCGTGCGTGTTTTGGGATTGACCTTGATGTCAAAGTTCCGCAAGATCTCCACCAGGGCGGCTTTAACTTGGGTGAGTGCGAACCGCATGCCTAGAATTACAGATTGTTTTTTAAAGATTTCCCTTTTCACCTTTGGCTAGGTAACCCACCTGGACAAATACGCGGTCCATCGCCGAAACCAAAGTAAACACCCTGATCTCGGTACTTCTTGGCTCCGCCATTGACGTCCAGGAATCGCTGGGGCTTGAAGGACTGCGGATCCTCGTAGTACTGAGGATCGTAATGGAAGGCGTTGGCTGGAATAATGACCACATCACCCGGATAAACCTTAACGCCTACTCCATTTTTGTTTAGGAACTCGTAGGGCTTAGTGACCACCTTGCGGGCAGCCGTCAGGGGAGAGAAAAGTCGTAGGGTTTCTGCAAGTAAATAAACCTTTTTAGTAAGTTCATATATGAACCCCCTATGAGAATCCCAACTTACCATTAATGCAGGCCTCAATAAAAGGTAGTTCACTCAACTGTTCAAAGGTCAACTCCGCAGTTCCTATTTCCTCCCTTAACTTCCTCTGCTCCTCAGGATTGCGTCCCAGGAGTAGCAAAGCATGGGTCAGCACCTGAGCGGTGGTCTCAAATCCATCGGTGAGGAAGGTCATGGTATGTGAGGTCAACTCCACGGCGTCCAGTCCCTTCTTCTCCTGCAACTGCAGCATGTAGTTGAGGAAGTCGTCGCGCTGTTGTCCCGGATTCTCCCGCCTCACTTGGATGCACTTCCTCATGATATCGAAGAAGAACTCCTCCACGTCCTTGGCGAACAGACCAACGCTGTAGAAGTTTCGGATCGGTGGCCATAGATTGGCCACCACTGTGTACAAGATGAATCCAAAGGACTGCTCAAAGACTCGCTTAATCATTCCCACGAGAGGTGTGGGATTATCAGTGAAACTCTGGGCGGAGATACCCAAAACACAATCAGAAACCACTTCGGTGGTATAGTGCAAGCACAATTCCTTGGTATTCAAACCATCCGAGGAGGCCATTCGTTGCTGTCGTTTAATGTAATCAGCAAAGGATTTACAAACGCGTTGCGAAACAGGATAGGAAGCTTTGACCTTGGGGGATAGATAGATAAAATCCTTCAAATGAGATAATAATAATAACCTTACCCTATTTGCCGAAAGTCCGGGTGTAACCTCCGCGCGTCTTTCCTTCCAGGATTCACCTGTCAATATGAACGGGTTGTTGGCCAGAATCTTGTCCACCTTTTTGCTAGTCTGTTGGTCAGGTTATATAAAAATCCAATCTCAAGATCAGAACTTAATCATTCCCACTTACAAACTTGGACATCTCATTGTCGTGGAAGCTGCGAAAATCGCTAACGAAAATTTTGTGAGCATATTCCGGACTTGTGACCAAAAGTTGTGGCATTCTAGTTTGGAATACCCCCACAATGCTATCGGTGTTTTTGTACTGTCTGAAAATGCAATCAGTAAAAAGTTAACTAGCTCTACTATCTTATATTTAACAACCCCTTACTCGTATATCTCATCGATGTCGTAGACCACGTTGCGCTTCTGGGTAAAAACGCTGGGGAAACTGCCCACGAAAGGCCATGATTTGGCCGAGGGAATGCCTCGCTTCTTCCAGTAGTTAAAGTTCCAGATCAGAAAGACATAGATCAAGGCCAGAAAGGCCGCGATTACGAAAAGAACCGTCGAAACACAGGGACACATGGCACAACCGGTCGCGAACGCGGATGGAAACCAACTGAGTCGCTCAATTGGGCAAGCTCAGTTATTTAAATTAAACTTGATATCAGTCAAGTGAATGGCCAATGGCAGGCAGATGGATTCACCCAGTCAACAAATTGATCAAATTGCCTACACCACCACATCTAATGGTTGCCATAAATAGCACTGCTTTTGACTCGGCGATAAGAACTGATTGTGTTATCAAGATCAAGGGCAGAACAACTAAGGGGGTCGCTAAGCTCAATTTAAAGGTGATAAAAGTGTAATTTAAACATACAGATGAGCTGTTTTTAAAGTGATTAATAGTAAAATATAAATTTTTACATCTTTGGCGAGTTTAAACAGAGATTAAAAGCTAATATAAACAGTTGAGTTTCTTATCACTTTTAGAAGATTGGGTGATAACGGAAAAATAATGTAATTTCATGAAATGTTGTGACACTATCAACCACTTGACAGGAATTGGTAAAACTTGTTAAATTATTGTAAAATGTTGAAGCGGGTTCACCCTGAAAATTTATATTATTTTGGTTTTGCAATGCACCTTAATAACAAAGATTGTATTATCAATAAAAGTACTTATTGGAATTTTTTGTAAGTTTTTGTTTAATTGGCTTACTATCTTATCAACGATCTTAGTTATATCGATTGAGGAACTTCAACCGATTTATTATCGCTCCTTAAAGTCTAAGTAAATACCACCTTTCAAAGTGGCCATGAAAAATGTATCATCTAGTCGATCATCCGATCGGGTCTTGGGATTAACACTAATGTCGAAATTTCGTACGATTTCCACTAGAGCTGCCTTAAGTTGAGTGAGAGCAAATCGAATGCCTATTAAGGAAAGATGATTGTTTTAGTTATCAGTTCTTTTTTGATAAGGGTATAAAATAACCAACCTGGACAGATGCGCGGTCCATTGCCGAAGGGAAGATATACTCCCTGATCCCGATACTTTTTTACACCGCCATTGACTTCTAGGAATCGCTCCGGCTTAAAAGCCTGTGGATTATCATAATACTGTGGATCGTGGTGCAGTGCTTTCACTGGAATGATGATCACATCCCCAGGATTCACTCGCAAGGTAACACCATTCTTGTTCACAAAGTCGTAGGGCTCGGTTACCAGTTTTCGGGCCGCCACTTGCGGTGAAAACAATCGCAGGGTTTCTGTGAATCATAATATTGTTATATATGATTTTCTGTAATTTAATCAAAGGTATCTCACCATGAATGCAGGCCTCTAAATAGGGCAGTTCGGTCAACTGTTCAAAGGTTAGTTCTTTACTGCCAATCTCCTGCCTCACCTTTTGCAGGTCCTCGGGATGACGTCCCAGCATCAATAGGGTATGGGATAGCACCAGAGCAGTGGTCTCAAAACCATCAGTAAGAAAAGTCATCGTATGAGCAGTTAGCTCGGCCGCATCCAGACCCTTCTTCTCCTGCAAGTTCAGCATATAGTTGAGGAAATCATCTCGCTGCTGTTCCGGTTTCTCCTGCCTCAATTTAATGCATCGCCTCATGATGTCGAAGAAGAAGTCTTCTGCTTCCTTGGTGAAGAAGGGAACGCTGTAGAACCGGCGAATCGGTGGCCAGATGTTGACCAACACGCTGTAGAGGATGAAGCCGAAGGACGAGTTGAACACTCGCTGGATCATTCCGACCAGAGGAGTTGGGTTGTCCGTGAAGCTCTGCGCTGAGATCCCGAGGACACTATCCGAAACCACTTCGGTGGTGAAGCAGAGGGACAGTTCCATTGCATCCAAACCCTGGGAGGTGGCCAACTTTTGCTGACGCCTGATATAATCCACAAACTTTTTGCACACACTCTGCGACACTGGATATACGGCCTTGACCTAACAATATAATCAATATAATACGATATAATATTTATTTGGAGCCAAAGAAGGATGAATCTTACTCGATTGGGAGATAGTCCTGGCGTGATTTCCGCCCTTCTTTCCTTCCACTCCTCGCCTTTTAGAACGAATGGATTGTTGCCCAGAATCTTGTCCACACTTTTGTCTACCTGTTGTATAAAATGAATTCCTTAACTGTTCTCCAATAGTCCGTTTCTATTTACCGAATTCCCCCTTTCATTGTCATGGAAACTGCGAAAATCGCCGGCGTAAATCTTGCTTATATATTCCGGGCACAAAACAAGCAGCTGGGGACGTCGTGTGGTAAACACCCCCACTATTTTTTCCGTTTCCTTGTATTGCCTAGGGGATGACGTCACTTTATAACAGGTTTGGGCTTAGAAAAATTCGTATCTTTTTGCACATACTGATAGATATCATCGATGTCGTAGGCAACGTTGCGCTTCTTGGTGAACATGCTGGGAAAACTGCCGACGAATGGAAATGTGGTAGCTGTCTGGATGCCTCGCTTCCTCCAATAGTCAAAGTTCCAGGTGAGGAATATGTAGACCAGGGCCAAAAACCCTGCTATAAAGAGCAGCGTACAGCAGATGGGACACATGGCACAACCGTTCTATAAGGCAGTCGGAACCTTACTGAGCTGAACCGACTTTCAACGTTAATTGAATTGGAACTAAAGTGAACTGATAAATGCGCAGCCATGTTTGAACTTTTATTTATCTGTTTGTCATGTTTGGAATCGTTTGAGCAGAACTTAAATATTTTAAAATTCCAATTAAATCTTATGTTTTTGCTTTGAACGCAAATGATTACACTGTGCAACAAAATTAATGTTTTTTAAGTTAAACTGCGTTTCCAAAAAGTTTACCGACGCAAGGATTCTTAGCACAAGGACCTCAAAGTTCGAAAAATGCTGAAATTGGCCAACTTTCCGGAGGTCGAGGTCTCAGAGGTCAACGGATTCATTGTTTGTTTTGATGTTTAAGTTTTTCAAAAGATACACTCTTTATCTTTCAAACCCCAGTCTTATAATATTTTTAGGATTTTTTTTAAGGGACAAAAAATAAAAGAAAACATAGTCATAAAACGCAAAACAATACAGCTGAGGTCAAAATATTAACAGTGTTCCCGCCTTTCGTTTTTAAAGGTTTTCTTTTTTCTTTATTTTTGTTTCGGTTTCATTTACATGTTGCTAAGCATTTTGTTGCTCAACATTTTTTTCGTAATCATGTTTCCAGCAACATGTTCGTTGCAGCCGGCTTGTGTCTTTGCTAAAAAACAAAACCGGTTTGTGTATTTACTAAACGCTCGGCGCACATAACTCATACGCAACGTGGGCCACCAATTCTCCTTTCCTTTATCATTTTCTTTGTTGCCAAAGGCAAGCATTTGTTTTCGTTATAAAACTCTGGAATGGGTCAACGAGTTCAGATAATCTTCAAAGCGTTATTTTCAACAGCATTACTAACAGTATTTTTTTACAATTCTCCAAATAGTATTTTCTATTAATAAAGCTTCTTGCGGCTTTTTTTAAAACGAGTACTTAAAATTTAAATGTAAATCTAAAGCTCCTTAAAGTCCAAATAAATGCCACCCTTCAAAGTGGCCATGAAGAAGGTGTCATCTATCTGGTTATCCGAACGGGTCTTGGGATTAACCTTGATCTCAAAGTTACGTAAGATTTCCACCAGTGCTGCTTTCAGTTGAGTCAGTGCAAATCGCATGCCTGAAAAAATTAATTTTTTTTCTTCAGTTATACAGTTTTTTTTGTCTCTATAAGACCACCAACCTGGACAGTGTCGCGGTCCATCGCCAAATGCCAGATAAACACCCCTGTCCCGATAATTCTTCATACCCCCGTTGATCTCTAGGAACCGCTCCGGCTTGAATGTCATCGGATCCTCATAGTACTGAGGATCATGATGGATGGCTTTTACGGGTATGGTGACCACGTCACCGGGATTCAAACGCAGAGTAACTCCATTCTTGTTCTCAAAGTCGTAGGGCTCGGTTACCAATTTACGGGCCGCCACTTGCGGTGAAAACAAACGCAATGTTTCTGGAAAATAATTTTATAAATTACTGAGATTATAGTTATGATTAATTTGGGGCTTAAAAAGATTCACTCACCATAGATACAGGCATCTAGATAGGGCAGTTCGGACATTTGATCAAAAGTCAACTCTTCTTTGCCAATTTCCTCCCTTAGCTTTTGTTGCTCTTGGGGATTTCTACCCAGCATCAGCATAATGTGAGCCAAAACCAAGGCCGTGGTCTCGAATCCATCAAGAATAAATGTCATCGTGTTTATAAGTATGTTTTCCGTGGGCAGACCCTTCTTCTCCTGCAATTGCAGCATATAGTTGAGGAAATCATCCCGCTGTTGCGCCGGCTTCTCCTGCCTCAAGGTGATGCATCGCCTGATGATGTCCAGAAAGAACTGCTCCGTTTCCTTGTTGAAAAAGGGCACACTGTAGAACTGGCGAACCTTTTGCCACAAGTTGGTCACAACGCTGTAGAAGATGAACTCGAAGGAGGTGTTGAACACCCGCTTGATCATTTTCAACAGCGGGGTCGGGGTGTCCGTGAAGCTCTGGGCCGAAACGCCCAGTCCGCAATCGGAAACCACTTCGGTGGTGTAGCAGAGGGACAGATCCATAGCATCCAGTCCCTGGGAGGTGGCCATTCCCTGCTGCCGCCTGATGTACTCCACAAACTTTTTGCACACACTTTGGGAAACTGGAAATACGGCCTTTACCTTTTGGTTTGGAATTATTAATAATATAATTATTTTATTATTTTGAAATAATTATATATATTCCTACTCGGTTAGGTGACAATGCTGGCATGATCTCCGCCCTTCTCTCCTTCCATTCATCCCCAGTCAAGACGAAAGGATTGTTGCCCAGAATCATGTCCGTCTTTTTATTCACCTGTTGAGGAATGGTGAAATTCAGCCACTAATCATCTTCATCTAATCAGTTTCTACTTACAAAATTGCGCCATTCGTTGTTATGAAAGCTACGAAAGTCGGTTGCATAAATCTTGTGTATATATTCCGGACACATAACCAACAACTGGGGAACTCGGGTGGTGAACACGCCCACCATGTTTTCCGTGTCCTTGTACTTCCTGTTTGAATTAAAATGTATTACTTTAGTTTTTGAAGCCATTAACTAATATTCTTTAACCAGGTTTTTTTTAGAATCATCAAGGAATTCTAAAAATTATCAAATTTCATTTCACCACATAAAATTAAACCAGTTTTCGCACTTTTAGATTTTTGTTTCATACGCCACATGGCATGTGTGCCCAATTAAGTAGGCAACATTTCTTCTAACGAAGCACAGAGTTAAGATTATCTGATTTAAGAGGCACTTTGTACAGAGATTTTTTTAGTTTTCATAAATTTAAGGAAGAAGTATTTAATATGGCTTTCACAATTGGTTTCTTCACATAACAATATATTCATATATTGTTCATTTTTCCGCACATACTCGTAGATATCATCAATATCATAGGCAATGTTCCGTTTCCTGGTGAAAATGCTCGGAAAACTGCCGAAAAATGGCCATGTTGTGGCTGTCTGGATGCCTCGCTTCCTCCAATAGTTGAAATTCCAGGTAAGGAAGACGTAGAACAGGACCAAAAAGCTGGCCAGGAATAAGAGAAATGCAGTAATCGGACCCATGTCACAACGTCTCGCGATCTTAGACAGAACTCAACTCCGTGTCGGTTGAGCCATTTCATTTATTTCAAATCGGTCTAATTATCATACGCGCTGGTAATCTTATCTTCATTTTAAAATAAATATATCTTTCCAAAAAATTTGCGATTATCGAATATGAAGGTTGCTCATAGTTTCCGCTTGCAATCTAATCATTTTCGCATTTATATGTTTATGCTTATTTATATGTTTATATGTAGCTGTACGCATTATCATCGCCAAAAAGGCACGTGGAATTGGGTACAATGGATTGTCGGTATCGATTAAGGAACTTCCTTTATTGTTATGTAAATTGGGGAATTTCGTATTTTCCAGTTTGAATCTTATCTTCTTTAAAAGTCTGTAGGCGAAGTTTATACACCCTCACAGTTAAATAATGTCATGAGTAAAATATAGACGACTTTAAAAAACGTTTTAACATCAACAAAAAATATTTCGACCTGCCACCTTTTTAGAAGGGTCGAAAGTATTTCCCTTTCTGCTTTGTAATTTTGTTTACTGTAATTATAATAATCTTTTCAAGGGCTTGATACTCATTGGTACTTCTTAAGTAATTTCTTTAATTTTTGAAGAATAATTGTCAAGTGGATAGGCGATTAGTTAGTTTTCGTCAGCAATCTTATCTTTCCAAAACAATAACTTTTTGTTTTTTTTAACAAAAACTTGAAAGGTGTCTCGTGGGCACGTTTGTTGAATTCTATCTCTCAATCTCATTCTTGTCATTTTCTAAGAGCTTGACCAAATTAAAGCCTTTTATTTTTCACAATCTAATGTTTTTCATAATAATGATGAGTAGGAAATTTTGTTATATGTCATTAAAAAGGTATTTCCAATATTTTTTTTACCGATCAGTAAATGAGTTGATACAATATGATATGTACTGTACCAAAGCTAGTTTCTCAAAAGCTTAAAGAAAAGACCAGAAATTTATTTTTAATATTTTTGTTTAATAATCATAATGCATATAAAGGTACAGTTGTTCACAAGAAAGGAAATCTTAAAATGCTACATAAATTATATTAACTTGATAACGGCTCATTATTTAATAACCAGATAGAAGCAGCAAAGTACACAAATTTAACATTTAAATCAAACTTAATTTAATACGTAATAAATCGTACAGGTCTAATAAATAAATGTATGTATTTTCTCAATAATTGCTCAAGTTTTAAATAATAATAAAAAATAGTTGTAATAAACAAGTTGGGTAAGTATAAGGCAAATAGAATTAGGTTTATCAAAAAATATTAACAACAAAAATAGGTTAAATTTACTGGATGGACTTACGTCGCTTGTCTATTTGCAAATTGCATTTTTACGATTTTTTTTCAAAGAGTTAATCTTTTGTTTTATGAATTTCATTTCATTTTTTTGTATACGCATTTTACATTTTTTCTAGACATAGAAAATTTGTTGGTTGGTTTAGCACCGGCATAGGACACTTGCTTCGTTTTGTTCAATGCTCGTGGCACGCACGTTTCCCTATGTTTTTTGGCGAGAGGAGGCTAGGATGATAAATGTCTATGGGTAATTTGGAAATGAGTATCAGGAATGCTTTGAAATGTCTAGTCCCCCCGATTGCCGGGTTGGAGTTTAAGGATCAGAGGTGTTCGCAGTGTCCTGTGGCTGGCGCACTGCAGGGTTTCCCATCTATCCCTTGGCCGTGGGAGAGAACTTGGCCTTGGGTAGACGTATCCTTTGGCAAGGGGGGCTCTAAGGGCCAGAGTCTAAATAGAAGCCAATGTCTCTTGTGAGCTGCATCGCCTTGAATTTGGGAGAAAGACGAGCAGGAAACAAAAGACACTGGATTCCAATTAGTTCTCCAGGCGATTGGTCTATGTGGGTCATGATTTGTCTTGGGATTCTTTCACTTCTCTAGCCCATCGATGGCAGCAAGGATTCGTGTTTGGTTCCTGCAAAAATGTTCCACGAAATTTGCAGGATCCCAATCGCAACTCCTTGCTGCCATTGATCTCTCGAAACAAGGAAACGTGCGGTGATGAGTACAATTTTCGTGTGCGTATTTTGATTTCGTTTTAGCTTAGATATTTTTATATACAAAATGTTGGGGTTCTCTATAGTTTTCTTGGGATCATATATGTTGGGTATATATGAATATATAAATTGTTTGCTGTGCAAATATATATGTATAATGTATATATCGTTTTACAAAAGTTTTAGTTCGTTACTTGTCGTTAGTTTTGAATAGTTAGCATATTCTTTACTTCATTTCTTTCATTTCATTTGTTTCATGTTCGGCTTGTCGAGTCTGTTCAGTAGGTTATATACAAATTGGTTGTTTTATTAATGCCTCTAGCTATCGAATCTCTATAAAATTACATACAATTACAAAATGTGATAAACTACACAAATGTACAACTCTTCCATTTCATTATTGAACGCTTCTTTTTTTTTTGAATTTTCTTACAGGAATTTCGCTTACAAAAGGCATCTTTATACTGCGGTCTGTTTTGGGTTTTCTTGATCATTACATTTAGGGTTATGGGTTTCGGGTCTTGATTTTTTTTCATTGCACTAATCCAATTGCAACTCGACGGCCACTTTACGTTGGCGGCGGTCCGTGGGGATACGACAACATGGGCTCCAGGCTGCGGGCGAAGGTGTTGGAGAACATACAGGTGTAGTCCTCACCGTGGGGCACCAGAGTGGCCACACCTAAAAGCAGCAGCATGAGCGCCTGAATGGGCAGGGAGGCACGTGCAACGCGGCCTAGGAATCGAGCACCGCGCGCCAGAACCGTGGTATTGATGACATCGCCATCGACAGCATCGCCGTCGCTGTTGCTATGGGTTCGAAAGATAAATCTATTAGTAAAGGTCAAAAATAGCAATGAGATCTGTTTGTAAATCATGCAACTACTGAGGGAAAAACAATGTGCTCTTTTTTTCATTTACAAATATAAAGTGCATAATATTAATCTACGATGCATGTGTGAAACAAGAACTTAAAATCAAATTTCTAAATATATTTACTTTGCATTTTCTGTGTTTGGTGCGGCGGCCTGCATAGAAGAGGTTGATAATGTAGTATTATCCAAAAGCTAGATTTTTGTTTTGCCATAAAGAAAAAGAAAGAAAAATACAAAAATTATAAATAATACAAATAATAAGGGGGTTTTAAATTTTCAATATTTTCTCGTTCGACTGCCAATTGGTTCACTTACTTCTGGTGCGCTCACAAATCAACAAATAAATCAAATATTTTTTAGGACAACTCCAGTTTTTTTTTTGTAAACAGGAAACCAATGAACAGAGTAACTAGGAAAAGAAAGACTCACCTCACTCGACAACATGTGCAGTGGCACGCCAAGATTATCGCCTTCATAGCCCAGGACAGCGCCCAGCTTGACGATATAGATACCGGATAGACGACGCAGGGATTGAAGACGCAGTCGGAGATCGGTCAATCTGGAAAGGGTTCTGGAGCATTTAAAACATTTGCATGGGCCCTTAATGGTTTATGTTTGGATGAAGGGTTAGAATGGGCGGACGAAAGAATTTTGAGTACCAAAAAATACAACACAAAATAATATACGCAACAAAAACGGCAACACAAAATATATGTGTAGAGGCAAAAACGAATGATTGATTTTGTATAGTTGGGAGGGTAAAGCTAAGAAATACGTTCTACTAAATATAAAACCCAACAGTGGGGGTCTAGAAAGTTTAGTTGTAGGAAGTTCCAAAAGGTTTATCTATCTTTACAGATAGTTTTAGTATAATTTTGAGGGAAGGTGGAATATAATTTTTGAAAGGTTGAGTTTCCGAAAGTATTTTGGTGGAGTGTGCAAAATGTGGGGGTATATTTGAAATGTTAAAAAAGGCAAGCAATAAAGGCCGAAATATTTGATAATTTATATGGGGGAATAGCACATGGGTAAATATCAGAGAAAACTAATACTAATAGGTGTCTACAATAATGATTACTACTCATTACAAAAAGGATTTTCAAACTAATCAAAGGAAATCAATATAGCAACTAGAACTACATAAAATACTGGATTTAAATTCCGCCCAACTAACTTTAGTACACTTTCCCTTTTCTTAGAATCCCTTAGTTCTCGAATTATTTCGTTCCGCCCTCGGAACTGGCCCACTGGACACCTTACCTCTCGTAGGTGTGCTGCGACTGCTCCTCGGAGCCCTCAACTGATCGAAGCAGCTGATCGGCTGCATCCTGCAGGCTCACGACCCGCGGCTCGCATCTTTCCAGTTCGGCACGCAGATCCTTGAACTTCTTGAACTTGGCCTCCAGAACCGAACGCTCCTCGGTGAGATCGACGGGCTCCGAAGCCTTAATGTTCTGCTCCGTGCTCTGCAGCCAATTGACCAGCTCATCGATGGTCTGATGGAACTCACTGTTGCCCATCAGGGCGGTCTGGAGGAGACCCTGCCATTTGGTGGCATTGATGCACACATTGTTCCAGCGCGCATTGTCCGCCTCCAGACGACCACGCAGCTGCCTCGCCTTCTCGGTATCCAAGGTGTGCGTGGCCAAATGGTCACCAACCACATTGAGAGACGATATGATGGACTTGTGACTCTCCAGATCCAAGAGGAACTCGCGATGATCCTGCGTTACGTCCTCCAAGAGCTCGATATTCGAGGGCGGAGCCGATTGGGCCTTCTGGGTGCTCTCGGCGAACTGCAGCCACTGCTCCAGGCGCCACAGATCATTGTCGATCTGCTGCCAGTTTCGCTGTGTGCAGAGCGGACACGTTAGCCGGCCGACCTCGCTAAAAGGGGTAGAATTAAGGGGTGAAATATAAATTAGTAATTAATATTGATATAATTATTATTATTATAGTAACTATTTATTTGTTAGCTCAGGCTTAGGCCTTTCCAAAATCCATTATTTAGACTTTGGGCATACAGTTCCCGACCTCTTGCTGTCCTCCACCCTGGAGTCTGGCAGCCATTTGTGACTCGCTGCCAGCTTTTGTCTAGTGGAAAGTCCCACAAAGAACACAGGATTGGTTTAAGACAGCAGGAGGTTGGGAAAACAGGTAGTTACACTTACTGAATGCAGTTGTACTTGTAGGATGCAGGTAGGTGGCACCTGGAGTGTGTGTTTGGTGTCATCATGAATGCGCAGGTTCGAGTTAAGCATGGTTAAGATTTTTTGTTTTTTGGGTGTGATTATGCGTGTGCGTGTTTTGACATGGAGAGAGAAGTAGGCAACAGCGAGATGGAAAGCAATAAAACAATTTGTTAGTCGAAAAACAGACCCAAACACCAAAAAGGAAATTGGATTCGGCTAACCGAATACCTCAAATCTTCAGAGATCTTGCCAAACTCATTTTAAAAATACCAAATTAAATTTAAATTAAATGTATACGAACACAAGTCATCTATTATAATATGAGCCATTATACAGTATGCCGTTCGTCTTTTAACAATTGATTTAGGAGCATTTGAGACACAAATGGGAAGGGAAATTCTTAAATATGCCACTTTGACTCCAAAAATTCAGCGGATAAACAAAATACAATAAGTTTTTGTAACCAAAAAACTATAAAATATAAACTCTTTAAATGCTGATAAGATAGACCGAAAAAAAGATTCTCTGGGCTTGGAATAAATTCTTTGAATATAAGAACTAATTGGATAGACTGAAAAATAGATTCCACGGGTTTCGAATAAATTCTTTAAATATAAGAACTAATTGGATAGACCGAAAAACAGATTCCACGGGTTTGGAATAAATTCTTTAAATGTAAGAACTAGTTGGATAGACTGTAAAATAGATTTCCTGGGTTTGTAATAAATTTTTTAAATATAAGAACTAATTGGATGGACCGAAAATAGATTCCCTGGGAATAAATTCGTTAAATATAAAAGCTAAGTAAATAGACTGAAAAATAGATTCCCTGGGTTTGGCAAAATAAATATCCCAACACAGATTTAAATAAACATAAAATCCCACCTTGAATTTTGATCGTGCTGCTGTCGCGCCTTCCACTGCGACTGCAGTGTATCGAAGCGCAACGTGAGCTCTGCCACGGTGTCCACCTGGGCGGCCTGCTGGTCCGCCTGGCACTCGGTGAGCAGCAGCTGGCTGAGATGCTTGACCAGCTCGGTGGAGGACTGGGCATTGCCGAGCAGCTTGGCGATCTTCTGTGGTCCCGGCTTGCGGGTCTTGTCCACCACCGTGCGCTGCAGTTCGTCCAGATTGTTCTGGCACTCGGCAATGGCCGTCTGCAGTTCCATGATGTAGGCATCCTTTGCGGTAATGGAGGTTTCCCTCTGCATCTGCTGGGCCTGGCGGAGTTTCCGCTGCGACAGTGTGTTCACCTGAACGGCGGCATTGGCGGCTTCATTGGCCACCTGTGCGGCTGCCCTGGTCAGCCAACTGGTTTTAAGGGTCACAATGCGGGTTTGGACAGTTTGCCAGAGGGTTGTGTAAGCGGAAACCAGTTCGAGCAGCTGCTTCAGCTGTGGCTGCTGCTTGCTCCTGGTCTTGGCCTCCTGGGCCAGGTTATCCGCCTGCTGAACATGCTGTTGGGCCTCCTGCAGCTTCTTCTCCAGACTTTCCAGCCGCTGGAGCACCGCCTTTGGTTCCGCCTTGGAACTCTGCTGATCCTCCACACTGGGCAGCTGTTCGAGGGCCTTTTGTATGGCACTCAGCGAGTTGGTGGCCTCCAGTTGGGCATTGTTGAACTCCCGCATCAGCTTGGCATCCTTGTCGATGGCATCCAACAAAGCATGACAACGTGGCGTAAGTTGGCGCCACATGCTCACCATCACCTTGGTGGGCAGCGTCAACTTCTGGATGTTCTCCGGCTCGACGCCGGCACTCGAGGTCAGCTTGGCATAGATCTGCTCTAGGTGACGCAGATTAACCGACTGGCTTTCCAGCTCCTCCAGCTTCGAACGGAGCTCCTTCTGCCGCTCCTCCAGTTTGCTGGACTTGCTGTGCGACTTTTGATCCCTTTCATAGCCCGCTATTTGACTCTCCTGCTTGCCCAACCAATTCTTGTGCTCCGCTGTGAGTTTGATGAGCTGCTGGAGTAGATTCCAAATGGTGAGGATGCGGCTCTTTCGCTCCGCCGACTGACTGCACACATTCTTCCAGCGCTGCTCCAGATTCTGGGCAGAGGCAGCTAGACCAGAGGTATTAACCTGCGTTCGCCAGCTGTCCGCATCGTTGAGCAGCATCTCCACGAGATTCAAGACCTCACCCACATTGCTGCTGTGATGCTCGATGGATCGCTGGATCTGCTCGTGCTCTTTTAACTTGGCCTCGATCACATTTGGGGTATAGCTCTCAAAGTTCAGGGGTTTATCTAACTGAGATTCCACCTCGAAAAGCCAGGCACGGATCAGGGCAATGCGCTCCTCCAAACGGAGCAGCGTCATCTTGAGCTCCCCGATCTTGGTGGCCTTTTGCTTGCACAAATACTTGAGACGCTGCCAGCGATCGATGAGCGCATCGCTCTGCTGTTGCACCTGCGAACGAACCTCTGGCTCGGAATAGAGGGTGAGTAGTTCCCTGCTGGTGGATAGTAGCCACTCCCTTTCCTTATCCCTCAGCTGCAGCTCCGAGTTTATTTGCTGTTCCAGCTGCTTGGCTGCCTGTTCGGGATTCGTCATTGCAGTGACATCCGCATCCTTTTCCACACGCTGCTCCAAACGCTGCAGCCACTGGGAGATGCGATCGTAGCGGATTTGGTAGTTCGACAGCAGGGATAGACGCTCTTCAATGGAGTTAATCAAGTTGGCTAGCTGGTAGTCCAGATCGGCGTGCTGCTGCCAGAGGAGCCAGTTGCGTTGACGAATGGTTTTCATGTCATGCGGACTGATGCACTCTTTAAGCTCCTCCTGGGTGACTGTCAAGCTCTCTAGGTTGGGCACCTGGGCACCCAGTTGGACCCTCTGGGATCTTAGTGAACCCAAAAGCTGCTCAATGGCAGCCGGCTGAGTGGGCAGGGATTCACTATTTTCATCCAGTAGCTTTTGAGCTGCCTCGAATTCCTGCTGCAAATGATTCACCCGCTTTTCGTACGTCTCTGATAACTGGGTGACGCGCTGCAGGAATCCCTGCCAGGTTTTGAGAGCCGCCCGCAGATTGCTGATCCTTTGGCCAATGCTGGCCTGCTCCATGCGCATGGCGGTGGCCAGGGCGTCGTCACAATGGCGGGCCAACTCCTGCTGCTGCTCCTGCAGAGCCTTGGACTGCTGTTCTCCCTGCTCCAGCTGCTGGATCATCGCATCCAGGCGGTTCTTCAGGTGCGGCACTCGCTTCAGATGAATGTATCGCAACTGGAGGGCATTACGCTCCGCCTCCCGTTGACGCAGCCAATCCAAAAGGGCAGCCAGCTGCTGGCGATAGGCATTCCAGCCGCTCACCCGACGCTCCAGTTCACCATTCCTCTGCATGATCCTCGAGAGAGTTTCATTGTGCAGATTGGTGAGGGCCTTGTACTGCTCTGAAAGCTCCGATTCAAGTGGCGTCTCGGATAGGACACTCTGCTGCGAGATGAGCAGGTTCTGGTGGATGGCGCACAATTGCTGCTGTTCCCTTAAACTACTGTAATCCTCGGGAATGGCGCAGGAGAGGAAGGACTGGACGTGCTGCAGGTACTGCCTCCATAATCGCAGGGCCTCCGAGCTGTTCTGGCTGCGGGCAAGTCGCGTGGACAGGCGATGGTACTCCTGGAAGGTGTCCTGGAATATCTTCTGCCAAAGGGCTAGGACCTCCAGAACCCCATCATCATCGGCAGGGGAAGCTGAAGGTGTCACCTCGTTGTTCTGATGACGTTCCTTCAGCTGACGCAGCTGCTCCTCCGTTCTGGCCAGCGTTTGGAGATGGGCTCGCAAAGCGGCCAGCTGCTCCTCGCTTTCTTTGGGATTCTGCGGTGGCTCGCGGGAAATGTCCTGCGAACAAAGGAAATCAAAATGTTAATATTTATTATTTGGAAATATTTTCTTTGCCTCGCTAATTGGCCTGACCCTAATATGGTTGCTCGGATGTCTCTGGTTACCATTTGTCTGTCCACTGCATGGCTTCCACAACAATGGGAATCGGTCGTGTGGCACATTGCAACTCTTTCCGCCAACTGGCAATGACCTCATGCCAACCAACTTCAATTGTCTGAGGCGTCGATGGGTGGGAGGAGTTGGGTTTTGGAGTGAATGGGAGTGGAAGAGGGTGGCGAACCAAACTGGTTGGCATGTGCCATGCAAATGAGCTTACAGTGGGGCAAGGTGTCCCAAAAATACCACCAATAAATGCCCAATTTGGTGAGGTAATTTATAGTAGGCATTTTTATGGTTCTTATCACTGAAGTTGATTGTAAAACGTACAGTTTTATGATCGTAAATCATTCAAGCTTCCGTTGACTTTATTGTTGGTTTTGATTTTAATGGCATTATAAATTATACGAATTTCGTATTAATATTGTAGTACTACAAAACACAAATATTTGCTTGTTTGATATGAAATATTTGTATCTAAATTTTTAAGTACTGAATAACTGCTTTAGAAATTATTAATAACTATTCTCATTCAATTATTTACGAATTTCGATTTTATGTCAGATTTTTGTTTTGTTTTGAATCCAAATTTTATAATTGGTAATTGGTAACCCCAATAAAGAGGCGAAATAAAACAAAGAGTTAGTTTAAAAACAAAGGACATGCAGCCGTCAATATTTCCATAAAATATTCAGCATCCGTCCTACAAAGCAAGTGTCAATTACGATTTTATAAGCTATTCCCACTCCCCCACTGCTAGTAATTTCAAAAAGCATATTCACGCCTCTTATCAATCAATAATGATGAGGAAAAACCACGGTGAGTGGGTTGTTGTTGCTGCCAGGACCCAGGGTACACAAAAACTTTTTCAACTTTTAACCCACTTAAAATAGCATGTCCTTCGTATTGGATTAACAACAACAGGAACAACAACAATAACACTTGCCGGCTAGTTTCGTTAGTGTGGGAATTTCCACACGCTAAAACCGAACTAACATATGCAAAATAACCATCTAAACAAAGCTATAATCGATAGCTGGTTAGGATGTATGGATGGACTATCCACCATAATTTCATTAACCACTCACCTGCTGCACATTGTTGAAATATTCCTTGGCAAGTGTCACCTCCTTGTCAAGCTCCTTGCGCTCCTTGTCCTGCGTTTCGGCCACATTGGCCAGCGTGGTAATGGCATCCTTGCACTCCGCCAGCCGCTGACCCAGTGCATCCAACTCGCCCTGCATCAGGGCCGAGGCATCCAGGCCCACATCGGCGGCGATCTTGGCCACAATGTCGCGCAGTTCCAAGATTCTATCATTCTGGGTCGTCAGGTTGTCTTGGCATACCTGTGTGAATAGAAACATAGAGATAATGAGGCTCAGGGTCTAGATAATCACAACCACTCAATTAACAGAGAGACATAATGTTCTCCATAAGCAGAAACTTCTGGCCAAAACAAGTTACCATTTTTACTATAACTATATAATATACCAAAAATATTCTACTGCCAAATAGGTTGTGTTTTAATTGTATTACCTAATGGTTTAGTTCTATTTTAAGACTGACCTATGAAGTCATTTTGTATTTATATGAAATTCTTGAATTAATTTCTCACAATCCTTATCTTTTAAAATTCCATTAGCATAATTATTTCTAATGTTTTCTCTACTTCTCTCACCATATAAAAGTTCTTTCTGAAAGAACCAAAACCTCGATATTTAAACTATAACTGTAATATAAAATATACCAAAAATATTATACTGTGTTTAAAGCATTCTTTGTTCTACTTTTGGACTAACCTATGAACTCATTTTGCATTTTATATTAATTTCTTGAATTAATTTCAATCGTTATCATTCAAAACTCCATTAGAATAATTAGAATAATTATTTGTAATGTTTTCTCTGCTTCTCTCACCATAAAAAAGTTCTTTCTGAAAAAACCACAATCCCGAAAGCCACAACACAATTATTTCGGATGGCTAGCAAAATGTCACTTGTTTATATTTAACTCGACGACGGAAAGTATTTAGCTCAAGCCGGCCGGGCTGGCGTTCCATTTCGTTACTCAGAGACCTCGAACCACAGACCCTTATCAATTGTCGTGCTGCGTTTGTCGAGTGCATTTTCCCTTACCCGACAAATGGTAATTAGGGCTGCGAGTGCCCAGCGCACTTTCGTTTTCAATTTGAGGGAAAACAGGTCACTACTCGATGAATAAATTCTCTAATTCAGAGCATTAGTGCCGGCGGTTTGTAATGTCCGCCCTATGATATCATCTGGCAAGTATTTGCCGATGCTTTATCACGCCGAAAACATAAGCAAACAAGCGCTTAGAGAAGTGGCATTGAAAATGCCAACATACATAGAGTATTAAGAAATAAGATTGTGATTTTCTACATTTATCTTCTTTCGGAGCTCAAGGCATTTGCGGACCTGTTCTGCCACTGCTGCTGCTGTTGATAAAGCTGCTATGTATACAAAAATACTATATTACGAAAATATAACCCCGCCACCGGGTTGATAAACTCTCCTGTGTGAAATGACAGTTGGCTTGGTTGCCTGCCTGCCTATCCGAAAATATAATTACACCATCGTGTAGGGCCTATAATATAATGACCCTAATGATCAATAAACACAAAACGTCGAGCCGAGTATGCGTTAATTTTTTAAGTAAATGCCGAAAAGAAATCGTACGACGATGTCTGTTTTATTTACCCAAGCATAATTTATGACACAAACACAACGGAACAGAAGTTAGCTCACATATATGTAGGTATGTATATGGCGGAACTATTACGAACCGATTACATTGACGCGCCCAAAAAAATTGATAGGGCGAGTACTACGGAGAAAATCAATGTAATTACTAGCTTCTTGCCCACCCGCGTCTCCAGTGGGCAATTAAAGCGTCGCACTTCTGTCCTAGTTTGCCGCCAAAATAAAATAGTCCATCTAACAGTGATGATGGTATGAATTTTTGTTAAAAAAAAATTAAAACAAAAATGCCTTAAACTTTCTTCCGATATCTTTATCTTAGAAATTCTATTTTTTCAAGAAATATTAAAAATAAATTTACAAGAAAAGTGCCATTTTTGTATGATTATTTTCTGCATATTTTAAAAATTACTAAACTCTTTGTTAAATCATAGACCAAAGAAACCATTTAAAAAACAGATTACTCCTTTGGTGTCTTTGAATTTAGAATGAGAAAGTATTGACCCATATTCCCTACCTATTGTTTGGTCAATTATTGTCATTTCCTGTACGACATTTGATATTTTACCTATCTGACAAGCAAAACAGGTCGTTGGCATCACTGTCGCCCACGCGATACACATCACTCATACGACCCGTTTGCCGGAAGACCCGAATGGGTCACGGCATACGGGGAAGCACTTACCTTGGCATGTTGCAGCGTATCCAGGGGCTGCTCCAGGGACTTGACCGTGTCCATTTGCTGGTCAATGGAGCTCTTGACGGCCGCGGAGGCGTTGCGGTACTTGTCCCACAATTCGACGGCTCTTTGGTATCGCGTTCGCAGTTGCTGCAGATTCTCGCTGGTGTCATTCCAGGCGACTACCGCCTCCTGGACGGCGGATTCGATCTGCTCGACAATCTGGACATCGCAGCTCTCGATCAGAGGTTTAGCGGCACCCTTCAGCTCATCGATCAGTTGTTCGCGGTTGTGAAGATCGCCGGCGAGTCCCTGCGAGGTGATTTAAATTCCCGGATAAAGATGGATTAGTCGAAATTATATATGGTGTATGGTATTCCGACCGCGACGGGAGATACGCGCTCGGTTCGAAGTTAACGTTAACTGTGCGGCCACGATAAACTTGCTACGTAAAGTGCCCACAATACAGCGAGAGCTTACGAAAAAGCTTGGGGAAAAGCTTGACGGCCATATAGCTTTTCATTCCGCTGGGAAGCGGGCAACACACTATTCAAACAAACTTGTGTGAATTATATATGAAGATTTACTAGGAATATAATATTGAATGCTTTTATAATCGATATAATGATTTTTAATTTATTTTAAAAGATATCTTTAAATATTTATAAGTTAAAAAAGGTTTTTATATTTGTTCTTAGTCACTTATCATCACTTATCGTGCAAACTCTTTAGAAAATTTAATTTTACCTTGACGATTTAAATATAATACTCTTGTAAAAAGTTGTAGAAAAAATTAAAAATTTTGTATTATTATGAAAAAATATTAAATACAACATTTTTGTAAATTATACAACTTACAATTTTTTATAACAAATGCATTGTTCCTAAATTATCAATTTATAAGACTTTGTGGTATTTTCGTAAAACAGTAAAAATTCCAAAATATAAGCAGACTTTCTTGTGTTTCCATGAGATGTTAAAGATTCGAGTATTTGAATATAACTAAGGGCCGTCAGGAAAATTCTGCGGTTTATGTAACAAATTTCCCTCAGCAAAAACAAGGCTGATAAGCAGTTCGCGAAAATTCTGCCCAGCAGGTAGCGAGATAATAAAGAGGCAACGGAGATAGAAACCAATATAATTCGAACCCTAACCGCGCGCGTAAACAAAGTCATAAAATATTGGGCGGTCAACTTACCTCCAGACGCTCTGTGGCTTTGCGCAGGCGCTCGTAGTCCACTTGACCGTGGACCCGGATTAGTTCCATCATGAAGTCGGTTTCCTGGACGGATCCATGGACCAGCTCCAGTTGGCGCTCGTAACGCAGCCAGACGGCCAGTCGGTTTCGCAGGATGCCCATAATATTGGTGCACTTGCTTTCCAAGAAGGCGTGGTCGTCCTGCAGCTGGGAGATATCCCGCTCCAACTTCACAGGCGAAACAGACATCTTCAGTCGCATGGGCAGGGTGTGGAGCATCTGGCGGATGCGCATGATCTCCTGCCAGCTGGTCACCAGTTCCTCACCGGCGCCTTGGCAATCGGCCACGGCTTTTTCGAGAACATCGGCTCCCTGCCTTTCGGCCGCTTCACATTCATCCAGGATCACCGAGATCTTGGCCTGGTGTTTGCGTTGATTACTGATACCCTCCTGGATGGCCTGCAGTTGGTCACGCAGCACAGATGCTCCTTCCAGCTCCTCGGCTATCTGGGTGCTGATCTTGTGCGAGAGGGCAAACAGTTCGCCCACTTTTTCCGGCTCAATGGCGGGCTGTTGCAGTCCAATCCGTCCAAGTTCGTTGCCAATGAAACCCACACGGGTGCGGAGGACTTGAACCCGCTCAATATACAAACAGAGCTCCTCTTCGTTCTTGATCACACCCTTCATGCTGGTCATGGTCAGGTAGATCTCCTGCAGCTCTCGCTCCACCATTTTGAGTTTCTCATCCGCAGGCACATCCTCCGACGACAGGCATTCGACAATATTGTGCTGAATGAGTTCGATGGCCTGGGCGACGGCCTGCCAGCGATCCTCCAGTTGGGCATGGAACTGCCGCTGGAGCATCTCATCGGCCAGTGGGATGACCTGCAGGGATTTCTCGAAACTCACCGCCGTATCGGTACGCACATTGTTGTGCAGCTCAAAACGGGCCTTAATCTCCCAGAATTGACGCATATGCTCGATGGGCTGTTGGGTGGGTTGCGATGGTATCTGAATGTTCCTTAGCTCTTGCTCCGCTTCCCTTACAAAGGCCTCTAGTTTGTCCGTTTGCTGTTCGTACTGCACCCAGATTTCCTTGAAGACCAACAGGCGATGCAGGTACAAAGCCACCTCCTCGCGAAGTTTGAGTAGCACTATCAGAGCCTCATTCGTTTCCTCTACGAGATTGGGGGCCTGCACGAGGAGCTGCAACTTGTTGGCTATTCCCGAAAGCTGCGTCATCTTGACGTAGTGATGTGAGATATCATTGCTCAGCGATTGATAGAGGGTGGTATACTGATCATAGTCGGCGGATGTGACGGCTGAGAGATCGGGGACTCTCTGTTGAGCTACCTGCAGCCACTGCAATTCATCTCGCATTCCCTTCTCTAAAACAGTCCAGCGGGAGGCAGCCTGCACCAGTTTGGAAGACCTTTCGGAGGCCTTGTCCAGCAGACTGGTGGCCCTGTTGTAGAGCTCCTTGTGCAACTCGGAGTGCTTCTCCCGCGTCTCACTATCGATATTCTCCTCCAGGGACTCCAAAATGGCACGACAATGGCTGAGATTCACAAAGAACTTCCGCTGCTTCTGCACCTCGTTGTTCAGCTGTTCGAGGGAACTGGAAACAATGGGGCTCTCAACTAGCTTGTCGGCCAGAACAGTGATTTTGGTGAACTCCTTGAGGGTCTGTTCGTACTCCTCCGCCAGGGATTGCAGTTGAAGGACCCGCTCACGCTCTGCCTGGATATTGTTGCCGATATTCTTGCTCGTCTCGAAGGCATTGTGCACATCCTGCGGCATCTTTTTGCCCGGGAAGTCACGCTGGAAGGCTCGGGCATTCTGACAAAGCTGCGCAAGTTGCTGCTGCGCGGCCTCATGTTGCTGCTCCAAATCATCCAGCTGGGCGAGCTTGGCGGACAGGGGATACTCCTGATTGATCAGAAGATCGTAGCTCTGCTGGAGTTGGGCCAAAACCGAGGACACGTTGTACAAGAGAACCTCGAAGCTGTGCCACTTGTCCAGATCATTGCTATCCTGGACTTGATTCTGTTGCGTCACCTGCTCCACGGCTTCCACGTGCTCCTTGAGCGAATCCACACATTGCTGTAGTTCCGGCTCAGCCTTGGACAATTGTCGCTCCAGTTTGCCCACGTTCTGCTTAATGGTGCTCAGCTCTTCGTTGAGTTGGTTATAGTTGTCCAACTTCTCCTCCGAGGGTCCTTCATTGGAGTTCTGACGGATGAGGTACACGCGATACTCGATGGTTTCCAACCATGTGGAGACCTTCTCAATCACCGTGATCACAGTGGTTTGAATCACCGTCTTGTCACCATTCTTAATGGCAGCATCAAGATCCTGGAGCCCCTCATTCACCTCCAATAGACGCTGCTCCGTGGGCAGCTCCTTAATCTGTTCAGATAGAGTGGCCAAATGGAGCACATTGCTCAGGGGAGTGGCTTGTTGGGGCGATGCCTGCTTGAGCTGCTTGATGCGGTCGCCAATGGCTTCCTTGGTGGAGATTAGGATTGGTTGCTGTTGTCCTGGATAGTGCTGCAAACTCTCGCTCATAATCAAAGCCTGCGAGAGCTCAATGGGTGTCTTATCCACACTGGTGGTGGCACTGAACCAAATGTTCTGGGGCTCGCCACTTAGGTTGTCCGGTCCCGGGGTGATGGGCACCACCAGCTCCTCCGTGGGTGAACCGACCTCTTCGATCGTTACCGCCGAGGATGTGGGTCCTGCTCCGGATCGCTTACTCTGCTGGGATGCGATTAGCACCTTATTCTGCTCGGTGATGTGCACCGGCAGATCGGGATACTCATCGTAGACAGTGGTCTTGGTGATCTGGAGTTGCACTCTCTGTGCTCTGGGTGTTCCTTCCTCTTCGGGTTCAATGGGAGTTTCCACGACGGGTGTCACATGAGGCACTTCTTCGATCTGCTGGTTGGTGGATACCACAATACCTGATTCTGAAAGCAACTCGGGTGCAATTTCAACCGTCACACTGATCTGCGGCTCCTCCGGCAGCTGCTGCTCCAATTGAGGCTCATTCTTTTGCTTCTTTTTCTTGTCCTTCTTGGACTTTTTGTCCTGCTTGGGCAGTTGCATGGTCTGTGTGTATTCATAGACCGTCGGCTCGGCCACAGATGTATCAGAATCGGCGGGAATGGCCACTGTCGTCTTGACCTCCAGTTCGTACGGTTCCGAAACGGATATCGAAGTGGCAGTCAGAGATGTGTCATCCAGGGAAGCGGGTTGCTGCTGATCTCCAAGAGGCGTAGTTTGCGCCTCACCATCGGCGACTTGCACCAGTTCCACCGTTGAGGTCTCCTCATGAACAGTTTCCGGTTTGACAAATTCAGCCTGTTCCTTTGGCTCCGGAGTGGTTGTCTGCACATGGGTCTCAGTGGTTGTGGTGGTTTCAGTTACGGTCGATTGTTCGCTGGTTCGCACTGGCAGATCGGTGGTCATATCCTTGACCAAATCCTGGACCAGAGATTCCACCACATCACTGCTGTCTGGCTCGGGGGCGCGAGGCGAATCCTTCGGCGTGGTCTGCAGTTCCTTCTCAATGGTGGTAGTCACTGTGGTTTGGCTTGAAATCTCCACAGTTTCGGCTGGCTGGCCACTGACATCCGTTTGAATCTCGGTTGTGGATATCTCCACTGCCACTGGCTTCTCTTCGCTGCGGGGAGTGGTTTGTGCCTCAGTCTCTGTGATCTCCACAATCAAGGTTTGCGATTCATTCTCCTGGTTTTCGGGCTGCACTTCCAGACTCGTCTGCACTGCCGTCTCATCCAGTGTGGGTTGATGCTGCGGCGAAGTCTGCACAGACTTAAGATCCTGCTCGACTTCGGATTCTTCAGTGGGCGAGGGAACGCGCGGTGTGGTCTGCTGTTCCTCATCCTCCACCAATGCCAGCTCCACAACCTCGGTGGGAATAACCAGCTCAACCATTGGCGTCCTTGGGGATTCCGAGGGCGAAGAGACGACGGCATCTTCCACCACCTTGACCTTTGAGTCAATCTCAATGCTGGACAAATCGCTGTCGGGACTGATCTCAACAATGGACTCATGACGCACGGTATCACGCGGTGAATCCTCCGGAGAAACGGGCAGATCCGAGTCCAACTCAGGCTCCTTAACGGGCAGTGCCACTACCTCCGGCTCAGTCTCTGGTTCTTGTTCTTGCTCGACCTCCTCCTCGTGCTTCGTATCTCTTCTCTTCTTTTTCTTTCGACGCCGCTTGGCGTCGGCGACGGGAGCAGCGGCAGTCTCAATGATGGTCATGCTAACCTTGCCGGTGGTTGGTGCAGTGTTATCCTCCTCGGTGGTGCTTTCCTTGCCCAGCACAACCTTCAGCACACCAGCGCCATTGTCCTCCAGGGAGGGAGCGGTGATTTGGAAGGTTTTTTGTGGTGCTGTAGAAGCCGCAGCCTCTCCAGAGATGAACAGTTGGGTGGCAGAACGCAGATCGATTTGAGCAGGAGCTGCTTGTTTTTCCGGCTCTTCTGGCTTTTGTTCAGTCTTCTCAATGATCTCAAGGGCTGCCACTTCGGGCTGTACTTGTTCCGGTTCTTCTACAGGCAATGGTTTAAGCTCCGCCAGTGGAACAGGCTCTTCTTGTTTTTCTTCAGTCTTGATGGTGGTGATATCCACAGTCCTCTCATCAAGTACAATTTCCGCAGGCTGCACAGTTTCAACAATTGAAGTTACAGTCGGCGTTGAAGATTGTTCCTTTAGAGCTGCGGATAGAGTCTGTTCGGCTTCAAGGAAACTCTGAATGTCACTCTTGGTCTTCGATTCAGAAAGCGGTGCTTTATCTCCAGGTAAGTCCTCCACGATAGTTTCCCTTGGCAGTTCCGTAGAGCTTGTGATGGTGGTTGTAGTCTTGGTAATGGTAATACTTCCGGTGGTAATGGGCTCTGGCTTAATCTCAGCTGCAGATTCCGGTTCAGTCTCTTGAGGCTTAACTTCATCCGATTTTGTGCTCTCTTCACGAGGTGATTGTGGCTCGAATTCGTAGTGCTCCAGGGTCAGTGAGTTGCCAGTTTCTGGGCTGGTCGGCCAAATTTCCTCTACTGGCATCGAGGCTTCAGTCTCTGCTAGTGGTGGTGCCAATTCTTCGACGTGCTGGGAGAAGTCAATGTTGGTGGGTTTGAGATGATGTTCCAGTGGCCAAATTTCGTTGATATCTTCGACCACTGTTGCGACATCTACAATGGCTGGTTCTGAGGAGTCTTTGGGTTCAGCTACATCCGCTGTTGGAACATGAACGGGACTGGTAGTGGCAACTTCTACGGGTTGTTCAACATCTACTTCAGGTGCTGGCAACTCTACAGGTGCTTCTTTAGTCGTTTGTTGTGGTGTCTGTTGTTCTGGCTGTTCTTGTTCTTGTTCATGTGTGGTTGCGGTTGCTGTTCTTGTGGTGGTGGTGACTTGGGTAGACTCAATATCAAATACCTGTTGCTGCGGTTCTGCTGTTGGCTTGCACAGATCCGTGGCAACTTCTTCGATAAGAACGCCGGGCTCCTGCATCAATCGCTGGAACTCCTCCTCGCTTACCACCCTGCCGTCCACAGTTCGCACAATATTCACGTTAATATGCGGGGCTGTCTCCTCCTCGGTGATCTCGATCTCCTCTGGCTCCTCGACCACTTCCTCGGTGATGTGCTCCTTGCCGTCGATGATAACCACGCGCTTAATGATCTTGCGCGTTTTACGGATGACCTTACGGGTAACCTGCTGCACTACAGCTCGAATTGTGCCTTGGGTTTGAACATCGCCGGGTTGCATGGGAATCAGTTGCGCCTGGGATCCTGGGGCAATCACTTCCTCGTACGTCTCAATTGTGGGTTCGGTTTCGAACTCCTGCAGGATCACACCCTCGGGCTGGGATGAATCCACAACGGCACCACGTGTTTGCTGCGTGATTACGGTGTGGACACTGCCCTCCTCTGGATCAGCCTTAGTGTCCGTGGTGTGGACATTTTCCAGGTTAATCTGACCCGTGGAGTGCACCTCGATGTTGCCATCCGAATCGCTGATTGTCTCAATGGAGCTGATCTGCTGCTGCTGCACAATCTGTTGGCGGGTTCGGGTGACCTTCTTCAGCACAATATGCTTGGTGCCATCGGGTCCCACAATCACTTCGGTGGTCGTCTCATCGGGCTCCACGAAAGTTGTTTCAAATGCCTGAGGTACATTCTTTAGGATCAGCTCAGTGGCGCGATCCACATCGCCCTGGGGTCGCTGATGATAGCGAGCCTCAATCTGGACATCTTCGGGCTCATCAGGCACATCCTTGTTGCGAGTGGTGTCGATCTGGATGGTCTCCTGGCCGCGTTGGATCGTCTGGGTAACCATTATGTTCTCGGTGGGCGAGCGCTCCTTTTGGGTTTGGAGAGCCACCTCAACGGTTTCCACAGCTGCTGGCTCCTTAAAGCTGGTCTGCGCCTCCACAGTGGTGGTGGTCACCACCTGAACTGGGGGCTGCTGCTGCAGGCTAAGCGATGTCTGTGTCTCCACATAGACGCCAGTTGGCTTGATCTCCTCCTCGGGCATGGAACTGGAATCGATGGTGTTCTCGTTGGACTCGATGGATTCGTGAGCGGCCTCCGGGGTGGCTGGAACTTCAGTTGGTGGCTTGATGAGTGAATCGGCTAGCACACGCTGTCGTTGCGCCTCCTCGCTCTTGGCCTTCCGCAAATCCACGATGCGCTTCTCAATGGTAAAGATGCGCTTGGTAGCCACTGTGACCTGTTCCCGCAGAATGGTGATGATGCTCTGCAGCTGCTCCATTAAAGTGTCGGCCAAGGGAGCAACATCGGGCTGGGATTGCAGGTGACGCGTCTGATCCACCAGATCCTCCATGGACTGCTGGCGATCCTTGAGGGTGCGCAGCAGCTGCTGGCTCCTCTCCACCTGCGACTTGAGCACCTGCTCATCCGTGCTGCTATCCGAAGTCGTTTCGAAGGAGGCCAATTCCGCGGAAACCTCGATGATCCAGCGCTCCAGTTCCAGCAGATGCTGCTGGTACTCGTCAATCTCCTGCTGACGCTTCTTCTGGCCATGCATAGCATTCTAAATTGGATAAAATATTAAAATTAAGATATAAATGATAGAGATAAGTCTCAACCACTCACCGCTATCATGGTAATGCCTTGCTGAGTGCGGCGGAGTAGCAAATCAATGCGATCCACGGTCTCGTTGAGCAAACGTTCAGTTGCCGGATCCGTGGGTAACTTCTTCGCCTGGGCCTTCAGCTCGATGGCGTCCCTTTCATGTACTTCGAGATTGCTTTGGATTAGCTGCACATCGGGCGTATAAAGTAGAGGTTTCAGAAATGTGTTTGTCGCAAATAAAAGTGCAAATTGTAATCATTGTATAGGATTTTGGGCCTACAAAAGTGTAATATTTAGACAGCAAAAGGAACGACTACTACAACTGGACGGTACTAACAACGAAAAAAAAGGGTTTCTTTTCCTGACAAAAAAATGTACGATTCTGTATGGAGTGATGCGATTGAGTTATTAAAATTCTCTGACACACGCCAGCATCCAATAATCGTTTACAAAAGTTATATACAAGGGGGTGAGTATATTTTAATTCAATATTAATCTAGCTACGTTCGATTACATGCCGAGTGTCAAGCATCCAAAAAGGTGGTGTTATATTGGCCTTAGATTATTTCATTACCTTCAATCCCTGTAGCATGCCCTCCAGGCTGCTCTGGTTCATATTGGCGATGCCATCCTCGACGCTCGAAAGCGATTGGAGCAGTTCGTCGAGTTCTTGCGTAATTAGTTCCTAGAGTTTTTTAATTGTTTCGATTTTGTTGTTGGGGAGATGGTGTAAAAAGTGGGTTAATATTAATAAAGATTGCAAAATTTCGGAAGATTATTGCTAGGGAACAAAGTTGATGTAAATATTTGTTGCCGGCTTCTATACACATACAGCATATGTACATGAAGTAGAGTAATTATATATATGGGTATTTATAAAATTCAAATGGATGCAATGCACAGCCATACAACATGGATGGAATATTTCTTTTAAGGGAATGCTAATTAATGATTTTAAAAATAACGCTAGCTCTTAGATTTAACTTCGTTTAACATAACGTAACACATGCATTTGGCATAAATAATTAACTTATTTAAATGGCGGCATTTTATGAGGTAGGCGTTTACACAGCGGTAGACAAAAGTACCAAAAAATGCGATTCTTAATGTCTGTCTTTAGGTAGAGAGTTGGAAAATTAAATGCAATGCTTGAGTGGAAATTAAACTTACTTTCTTTCGACAATATATTTACAAGTTTTTAGAATCCTTTAAAATACTGTTTTCAATTTTTTTTATCTACTCTTTTTGGGCTACACACACTTTGGCACTAACAAACATTTAGATTCTTGAAATACTTCTTCAAGATTCGCACTCAACGCGTTCATTGCACATTTCAGACTAAAAATTGTAAAATAAACGGGAGACTATTTTTGAGCAACTAAGACGGCCTGCACCGCATGGATCGTATCGTATCGGATCCGTTGGGTTGAGTGGTATTTATAGCTATGGCAGGGAATACTCTCTGCGCGCAAATTCTTGATAGCAGGGCGGTAGGCAAGGCAATGAACTCATATATACGTGCGGTACACATAATGGACAGTTTCTGCATTTGGGAACTCGTTAATTGCGTGCACACACACTTTTGTGCGGCACTGTGTGTGGGGCAGGAAAAGTGCTCGATATGCGTGATCGTGTGTGTGCTTGTGTTTCGTGCTCTGGTGTGCGAAAAATCTGCGAAGGAAACTACATATACGCTGGGGGGATATGGATATAAATCAGCTCAGTATTAAAACGTGCATGTTGGTTAATATAGATTTTATTATTATCACTACCATTAGTAGTCTCTGATTACTGGGCTTTTACAAAGGTTAATATCGATTAGTAGAAGGAACTAGAGTACATCAAATCTACATATTTCTTTACGTCTAAGTTAGTTGCTTTTATAAAGGAATAGTAACTGTTTTTCTTTAGGTATACAAACTCAAAAACATAAGCCTATTGGATGCGTTTAGCAAAATAACACATACAATACAAAAAATAATAAAAATGAAAAACTTAGGAATAACATATAAAAAATCAAACATGTTTGTTGATAATCAAGTTACGTTAGTAGTTAGGCAATTGCATTATAAAATTGCCATTGTGAACAGGCCCAGACCAACTTTACGGCGGGCAATTTCCAGGGTCTGTGGATGCTGATGCGGCATCTTGCAACACATTGCCGCAGCAGCATGCGTTGGCCGGGACCTGGCCACAACAGCAACACGAACGATTGCCGTATAAAAGCCATGAACAAATACCGAAACCACACAGAAAAGCTGCAAAAATTAGAATTATGAATAAACGAAGGCTCAATGTGATGTTCACCTTCTGGCGTTGTTGTTGCTGTTGCAGATCGTTACTGCTTGTGGTTGTTGTTGTCGTTGTGGTGCTAGTTGTCGATGGCGTTTCAATTGTGGTTGTTGTCGTTACGGTTGTAGTTGTTGTCGTGGTGCGCTTGGTCACACCCTCATTTTCGGTAGGCAAGACCACCTTCTCTTCCCTGCTGCTAGTTGTTGTCGTATCGATGTGTGTTGCTTCTGCTGCTGGTAGTGTTGCTGGTGTTTCTGCTGCTGCTGCTGCTGACGGTGTTGCATGTGCAACATCCGCTGGTGTTGTCGCCGTTAGCTTATCGACTACGGCCGTTGCAACCGGCAATAGAGCGCTAGTTGCTGCCAGCGCTGCTGCTTGTGTTGCTGTTGCTGCTGCGTTCGCCTTGGCGGTCAGCGTGTGAGTTGTGGCGCTTGCCAATTGGATTAGTGCGTTTGCAACGTTAAGGGGACTAGTACTTGTACTGGGACTGGTTTCAGGGGCAGAGACGGGGACGGGGGCGGAACTTGTGGTTTTAGTTTCGGTTAGTACAGATTCTGGTGTTTCACTTCCTACTTTAACCTGAGGCTGTTCGGCTTCTAGAGCCAAATAAGTACTGTCATCGCGCCAATGACCCACTCCACCCGGCAGATCGGTGGACCTGTACTCCGATGAACAGCTACGGTTCTGACCGTACTGGGTATCGTGCTCGGGTGTGGGGGTTGCATTACCACTACTACCGCTACCAGGATCCTTGTCGTTCGGTTTATCATCGTCGTCGTTCGGCTTGCGAATTTCTGGCACAGTCGGTTTACCCCCCTCATCGTCGTCGTCGTCGTCGTCATCATCGTCACTGTCATGTTCGTCCTTGTCTGGTAAGCCAGTAACACCGTCTGGTTTCTTGATATCACCATCGGGTTGATCCTGCTTCTTGTCTTTGTCGAGTTCCGCTTCGCTACTGGCAACATCAGCACGCTTCAGTCTGTCGAACAAATCGTCGGCCAAATCTGCCTCGACACTGGCGGGCTGCCAGTCGTCCAGGTACAGATTCAGACGCAACTGATCGAGGTTGCCGGTTACCGGTGGTGCGGCCAGTGGCTGAGCGGTAGGAATGATTGGTAGTGACGATGCTTCTGGTTCAGTCTTTTCTACAACGCGATCCGTTATCGTCGTTGTCACTACAGTTTCTGTAATGCTGTCAGTCTTTTGCTTATCGTCTTGAGTTTCCTGAGCTTTCGTCTTGTCTGTGGTTGTCCTTGACAGTAATGCATAAGCATCGCCTGCCGTTTGTCTATAGTGATTGATTAGTTTGACGAAATTATCTTGGCTGAGGTGCCAGAGCAGTTCACTGGGTTGGGTCGGGGGTTGAGCTTGTTCAGGGGCAAGAGGTTCTTCAGCAAGGGGTTCAACAGAAGCTTCTAAAATTTCATTTTGATCAAGAACTTCTACTATCTTGACTTCCTCTACTAGAGGCTTTGGTTCTACAATAAGCTCAGCTGGTTTTTCGAGCGTGAGAACCTGGCTAATCGTATCAACATCTATACGAGTCTGGGGCAATAGATTGGTCTGGTCAAGATAAAGATTGAATGCAAGGATTTCGGAATTAATTTGGGGTATCGCTTCGGGTTCAATTATCACATAATCTTCTATAGAAGGAACTTCTTCTTTGGCCTCTACTGATGCCGGTTCCTCCGTTAGATTGACTACCTGCAATTGTTGGTATTGTCCCTGCAACAAATCGTATTGAGGATGCAACTTAAATCCTTCGCGACTCAGATTCTCGTAGAGGTTTTCAGGTTCGATTAATTGAGCGGCGGGTTCAGCTTCCAAAGCCAATTCATTTTTATGGCTGGTTACCACAGTGGATACATAAGATGTGGATGTACCTTGGGACTTATCCTCTACAATGGGAGCATCCTTATGTGTAGTCACTGTTGTTGTCACATATGTTGTTGTTGTTAATGTAACGTTCTCCGATTCTTCTACATTATCCAAGGGCTTCGGCTCCTGGAAGTCGGTAGTTTTGCTCACTACAACAGTAGACCAATCAGGCTTCTTTTCAATGCCCTCTTTTTCTTCTGGTGCTGGGAAGACTGTTGTCTCGGTTTGAACAATTGCTGACCATGTTGTTGGCTGATCAGTGGGTGACTGTACGGCAACTTCATCAATAACTTCATCGCTGGGAATAGTTACTGTTATGGGTTGACTTTCTTCTTGTGTTGTCTCGGTTGTCTCAACTGTGGTTGATGTTGCTGACGGTTTCTGGCCTGGTTTTAGTGTTGCTGACCAGTAGGATGTTTCGCATATGAACGCATCATCTGCACACGCAGTCTCTGGAGTGTCAGGAATCATTTCGAACGGAGCCAAAGGAGTGTTTCCAGTTTCAGTAATCTCAGTAATTGTGTTAATTCTTTCGACTGGCTTGCGAACCACATCAACAGCCTCTACAACCTTAGTGAAACCTTCAAAAGGTGCTAGTGGAGTGCTTGTAACTGGGTGGTCGTGCTTTCGGTCATCATTAATGGTTTCAACCTTAACGAGTTCGGTTTCCTGAGTATTGAGTGGTTCCAAAGGAGTCTGTTGCTCAATTTCTTCATCGTCAGAGAAGTTCATGGGTTCATCCAAAACATCCATCCACGAGCTGGAAGAGTCATCTACGGGCAGACCGGCATAAGCTGGTTTCTTTGGCTGCTCAGGTATCTGCTTGGGCTCCTCAGGAAGAGTAGTTTCGCTGGTAGACTCAGTTGTAACAATTGTGGTGGTAACTGTTGTGATAGACTTGGTACCATCCACAACTGGAGCTTCAACAATTGGCTCAGACTTGACGACTTCTTCAACTACCGTAACTTCCTTTTGTGGCTCAGGAATTGGTTCCTCTTCATCATCAGAGAAGTTCATGGGTTCATCCAAAACATCCATCCACGAGCTGGAAGAGTCATCCACGGGTAGTCCGGCATAAGCTGGTTTCTTTGGCTGGTCAGGTATCTTCACCGGTTCAACCGTTTGCTTGGGCTCCTCAGGAAGAGTAGTTTCGCTGGTAGACTCAGTAGTCACAATTGTGGTGGTAACTGTTGTAAGAGTCTTCTTTTCATCCACAACTGGAGCTTCAACCAATGCCTCAGACTTGACCACTTCTTCAATGAGCGTAACTTCCTCTTGTGGCTTAGGAACAGGTTCAACAATTGCCACAGGCTTCACGACTTCTTCGACGACAGTAACTTCCTTTTGTGGCTCTGGTTCCTCTTCATCATCAGAGAAGTTCATGGGTTCATCTAAAACATCCATCCACGAACTGGAGGAGTCATCCACGGGCAGACCGGCGTAAGCTGGTTTCCTTGGCTCTTCAAGTATCGTGGGCTGCTCAGGAATAGAAGTTTTGCTGGTATTCTCCGTGGA